CAAGTATACAGTCCACTAAAATAATCGAATTCATCATACCTGTGCTTGAGTTTGATTGTCAAACTTATTGTCCAGGTGGTAATTTTGACGTACAAAAACAATATGTTGTCCAGTATAAAGATAGAGATATGATTCTTTACATCAGTTTTGTAACTTGATCATATTTGGGATGTGTTTTAGGTCGTGGTCAGGTGCGAATTAAAAACAAGTAAAATAGTAGCATTTCCTTGTCCATGGTTTCTCCCATTTATCAAAAATGAAAATACTTGCCTTTGTTTTGGATTTTGAGTCTAGAATTTCAGAATTTGCAAGCCTGACTGGTTTAGGGTTCTACACAATCTGCTATGCCGGGGGCCACATCTAGAAAATGATTGTGATCCACCATCAAATGGTTGTCAATTAGTAGATTAATTAATTGCATGAATAGCTGCTTGTTTTAATTTCATAAATTAAAAATATGAAGAGTTGCCAATATGGAAGGGCTTAAACACATCAAATGAAGATCAGAGGCTTGACTTGCTATTTGCTAGTTTTCTTTGCCATTGCTGATATTACTGGGTCCCAGACCTTTTTTGGCTCTCTTTGTGCTCTCGGTTGCTGGCACAAATATGTTGAGAGGAGAGTGTTCTTTTCAAATCACAAATAGATACCGATTCTGTCATTTTTAGACATCTATCATAATTTGCTTGGGCTAGATTGGCTCGTAGATACTTTTCTCAACTTTGAGTGAATCTCTGAAATGCAAACTGCTGCTTATATTACCTTCCACTGACAAATTTACATAGGTTTTTTTTTTTGCTATGTATTATTGTGGTTGCCCTTAATATTAAATGGTTGCCCTATGAGGTTGCTACGTTTTGGATAGGACTTAAATTACTTTTCATTTATTGATTTTAGGTTAATTGCTTAGCTTTCAATCCCTTTAATGAATGGGTTGTGGCAACGGGGTCTACAGATAAGACTGCAAAGTTATTTGATCTGCGCAAGCTCTCTACTGCTCTCCACACCTTCAACTGTCACAAGTGAGAGTTCTCTCCTTGGTATTTTCCTTTATGCATTATGTACCTTTGGAGCTCTTGTAGATTTAATTATTTCTTTTTGTTATTAAGACTATATTAGGTTTCTTTAACTGTGTGCGCGTCCATGAAAGCATGTATATGTGTCATGTGAAACTCGATTTTTATTTTTTCACGACAGGGAGGAGGTTTTTCAAGTTGGGTGGAATCCAAAGAATGAGACCATATTAGCTTCTTGTTGTCTTGGGAGGAGGCTTATGGTGTGGGATCTTAGCAGGTTTGCCTTGGACCACTAGTATTTGTTGTTGTAGTTAAAATAGTTATATTAGTGTATTTTAATCTATCCTTTTGTTGTGGAGATAAGTAACACACAAACACACCAGCATGTCGCAGCCGGTACTGAAACCTATGCATCTCTCTTTGGAAGTGGTAGGAGATACCACTTACTGTCAGTTTAATCAAATGATTTGGTGAGAAATGAAAAGAAAATGAGGAGAACTCCTTATCAAGTTTGGTTTATAAGTTACGTGAGAAATGGAGAGAAAGAGAACTCTCTTATTTTATGTGTGTTTCTTTCTCACCACTTCGGTGAGAAACAAATGGATTGGTTGGTGTATTTTTCATAACACCAAGATTGTCCATTGAAATACAAAAGAAGAAAAAGAAATACCATCCATATCCATATATCACCAACTTTGCTTTCTTACAAAACACAATCATTTATTTTCTTTTCTCACTCCACATTGAGCAACAGCTGGTAGTTTGTTGGGATTAATGAGTGGATTTTTTATTTGGAAGTGTGGATTTTCAACCTATATTTTACTTCTTTGTCAGAAGATTTGGTCTTACTGTAATATCACTGAATTACTTCAATTGGTGTTTTACAACATAAGATATTTTTATACAATGACATAAGAAATAGTGTTGGCCAATGGCTTTCCTCAGTTTATTTGTCCTTAACACACCTTAACAGAAGATTCCTTCTTTAAAACAATTCTAAATGAAGGTAGTGCCAAGCATATAGGTAATGCCCTGACACAAATGGTACCCATACATTAGGACAAAATAAATCTCCAAACTTTGGAAATTTACAGACTGGCAGAAGAAATGGAATGTCTGTTGAAAACTAGCCTCCTCATAATGCTTGGGAGTTACCAATTATATAGAAGATCATTTAACTTCTTTAACGGTTTTCCAAGTTATAACTTCAAATTATGCAGCCTGTTGTATCATCTAGACCAAACCTTTGGTACTCGTTGTCACGAACAAAAAGTTGGGTATTTTTAGGAGGATTGGAAAAGCTTCAAATGTTAGCTTGCTTTTATTCACAAATTTCATCAAAATATTAGTGAGACTTGATGGTGGAAAAAGAACATTAATATCATTTAAATAAAAAACATTCTGGGCCATTTGTTGATATTTCCAATGATTCATGTTTACAAGATAAAAGGATTGAGCAGGCTCTTGAGCCTGGAACTGATGAAATTTGGGGAAAACATGGAACCGGTCACTTGAGGTTCATGTTTGTTAACATTTCCTTTGTAGTGCAATGTGCTCCGACTTCTTGTAGCATTGTTGGTTCTGACTGTTGTCTCATCTGGATCAACTTTGTTAGCATTTTTCTTTTCTTCTTCTTTACTAACTTTTAGTCCAGAAACCCAGAATAAAGTTAAAAACCCATAAAAAAGTAGAAAAGTTGATGTTAATTGAAAAATGCTAAAAACAGATCAAAAAAGCTAGTAAAAAAAGGCTCATCCAAATCAGTCATATGTATACCCCAATAAACATGCAAGAAATAATGATACACTTGCCTAGATTATTTAATTTTTCATTTTCTCTTTCCTTCTTATCCAGGATTGACGAAGAACAGACACCAGAGGATGCTGAAGATGGCCCACCCGAGTTGCTTTTCATTCATGGTGGTCATACAAGTAAAATTTCAGATTTCTCATGGAACCCCTGTGAGGATTGGGTTATTGCTAGTGTGGCTGAAGATAACATACTTCAGATCTGGCAGATGGCAGAGAACATCTACCATGATGAAGATGATCTACCGGGAGATGAATCTACAAAAGGTTCCTAGTAGATCCCAAATTAGAGAATGCTCAATTAGGAGCCTGAAAAGATAACCAGTTAAAATAGGAGTATCTAGGTAGTTTCATCTTTTGATTTTGTTTTTCCTTTTTTCGGTGCACCTTTTTGTAACCATCTTGATTTGAACTGAACTGCAGTGTTATAGTTTATGCAGTATTTATTTGCAGTGACTTGGCTTGTTCTTTAAGCTGCATTTGGGTCTTAGATTTGTAGAGGAATTTGTGAGGGAAAAGAGAATTAAAATATCAGGACTTGTTTATTTTCGTTTTCATAAACAAAAAGAATGAAAAGGTCAAAAATAGCTGTCATTTTTTATATGGTTTTTATTTTTGTGCGAAATGAGTTGAAAATTCAAAAACAAACTCTCAATGTTTCCTAAAGAATGGATTGTTTTTGTATTTTTTAAATAAAAAATTAGTTTTCGAAAACCATTTGCCATACAAGGTTTTTTCTTTTTCCTTCACAAATTCAAGATTGGAACCTGAATTTATAGAGCTATATTTCAGGCAGTCCTGTGAAGTTATATGCACGAGCTCAAACTTTGTTTGGTGGTATTGTCTCACCACAGCTTAATTATCTAGCTCAGCTGTTAGGTCACCATGTGAGAGATTTTGATATGTCTGCATCCAAACACAGGTGATAAAGCTGATGCACATTTTTATTTGGGCTTTGGTTGATGAGCAAATTGATTAGGTTAAATAAAGTACCAATCCAATTGTCTAACCTGATTGAGTAATTAAAACTAAACGTCGGTTTGATAATTATAATTGATATCACTTAAAAATTGAAGTATCTCTTAAAATGTAGGTCAAAATTTAAGGAAATTTTAAGTTATATGAAATTTATTTAATTTAGATTGAATTTATAAATACTAAACATAAGTATCGATATATAATATTAACCACCACCAGCATGCCAGTGCCAACACCATCATGTCACCACCACTATTATTATTACCTTCATCATTATTGTCATTGTTGTCATAAGTATCACCATCATTTTACTACCACCACCAACACTACCATTCCACCACCACCACCACCACCACCACCACCATTACAATATAAAATTAAAATATACAATTTGAAAATAATAAATTTCAAATTTAATCTTATACACATCAAACAACTTTTTTATTTATTTATTTTAATTCAGTACTTATATTTTTATTAAACAGTTTTCAGCTTAAAAAATTTCAGCATTCAACTTTTAATACTTAATTTTTAATTTTTAATTTTGTCAAACACTACCTTAATTAGTTGGAAAGTTATTTAAATGGAATTGCTTGACCTAATGATAAAGATCAATTAAATTGATGCATTGAACTTATAGCAAATAAGAAATTGGACCTAGTAAGCACATGCTTTGGCAATGGCTTTTAGAAGTATACTAGTTGGAGAAGAGTGTGCTTTATTCATTTATTTTCCACTGGTTGAGGCTCAAATTTGTTTGCAAACAAAATGAAAAAACTCATCATTTCATATGTTTTTCTCCTTTTTAGAATGGAAGTAATTTAAAAAAAATTTTAAAATGGTATTTTTATATTTTTATTGTAATGTTTTGAAAAATGACTAGTTTAGATCTAAGAAGAACGAGAAATGGGATCATCTCCCAATGCCTCACTATGGTAGTTGAAGAGTATACCTATGACACAAATTTGTGGGTAAATTAGGGGTGTAAAAATGACCCGTGGTTTGAGATGGGCCCGGCCCGTTGAGGCTCGCTTGGACCCAGACCCGAGCCCCTAGGCTAGGCCTGGGCCATCGTTTTCCAGTAATGATACATAGCTTCAATATTAGAGCTCTAAATGGAGTTCTAGTGAGGTAAAAGAGAGAGAGAATAGAGAAAGGAATGTGAGTCTCACCTTCACATGGGCACTCTCTACATCGTTAGAACTGTATTAAAACTCTCAAACATTATTCTTTTTTTTCTTCTCCCTACCACATCATTAGAGCTCTAAAATTTAAGTTATGTATCATTACTCATTTTTTTAATATAACAAGATTAAACTACTAAAATAAAACAATTGCCATTTATTTTCACTAATTTATTTTTCATTTTACATATTTTTACTTTAATTAATTATAAATTATTATCCATAACATATTACATTATTTCTAATTGTTAGAATTTTTATTTTTTAAATTACAAAATTAACCTGACCCTCCTATTTGTGTTGTTATATGGAGCAACCTTAGAGCAAGGATCCTCTCATTTCTTTCTCTACTTCACTCCCTCCTTGTAATGGTCAATATTCATCTTAAGAAAATTCAATAGTTTAGATCATTCCAAAAAAATTACTTTTTAATTTTAATTTTTTTTTAATAAAGTAATTTGAGCCGTTAGATTATCTTTAGATGAATCTTAATCGTTGTAAGGAAGGAGTTAAGTGGAGAACACAAGGAGAGAATCTTGGCTCCCTTAATATGGGCTACTGGTAGGGACTACGAATCCACTCTGTGACTGTCCTACGCGCCTTCCACAATGTATTGTTTTTACTTTTTAAAACGCATGTAGAACTCCATTATCACGTTGTTTGAATTATAAATTTGAATAAAAATTTAAAAAATATATGTAATTTTTTTTCATCTCACTCTCATTTTTCAAATTTAACTTATAAACTTATAAATGAAATAAAATATAAATTAAATTAAAATTAAGGGATATTTATTCATAAATTTCTTTTTACCTATTTAGTCCAAATTATTTTAGAGCACTTATCATAAATCTCTCTTTACTTACTTATATTCCATTTAATCCAAATTATTTTCTTATATTCCAATAAGTCCTATGAGTGACATAATTATCAAAATACCCCTAATAATAATATTCATATTGACAATGTGAATGTTCACATCGTCAATGTGAATATTCACATTATAAAATATGAATGTTCACATTACCAAGTTGCTAACCATTCAAAAAATATTTGTAAGAGTAAAATTATCCATAAAATACCTTAAATATGAGAATTAGAATTTGATGGGAGTGTTGTTATTAGTACTTCATCAATTATTTTAGACCCCTCATTTTTTAGTTTTTTTTTATTATAATAATAATCTCAAATAAAATTACTAAAAATAATATTAATAATTTTGAGACACCCCATCTCAGCTCACACACCCACTACATCTTGAGTTACGATTTATTAGAGCACCTACCTTTATTACCACTCATCAATATTTCTGAAATTCCACATTCAAAACCTATCCACCCTCAAAGCCTTGAAAACCTTTTTGGTGACAATATTCCGACAATAATGGTGATAACCATTTGATCAATTACACGTCTCCGGCAATGACAATGAGTGAAATTTTTTTCTACAATCACAACTCCATGAGACAAGAGGAATACAACAATAAAAGCTCAGAGGAGATTCATAACTTTGATAGTATTCTTTACTTAGAGGAGATTGGCCTTGCAATGGTGAATTTTTTGAAAAAAATGACAAAAAATGTTCACATTACCAAGTTGCTAACCATTCAAAAAATATTTGTAAGAGTAAAATTATCTATAAAATACCTTAAATATGAGAATTAGAATTTGATGGGAGTGTTGTTATTAGTACTCATCAATTATTTTAGACCCCTCATTTTTTAGTTTTTTTTTATTATAATAATAATCTCAAATAAAATTACTAAAAATAATATTAATAATTTTGAGACACCCCATCTCACCTCACACACCCACTACATCTTGAGTTATGATTTATTAGAGCACCCACCTTTATTACCACTCATCAATCTTTCTAAAATTCTACTTTCAAAATCTATCCACCCTCAAAGCCTTGAAAACCTTTTTGGTGACAATATTCTGACAAAAATGGTGATAACCATTTGATTAATTACACGTCTCTAGCAATGACAATGAGTGAAATTTTTTTCTACAATCACAACTCCATGAAACAAGAGGAATACAACAATAAAAGCTCAGAGGAGATTCATAACTTTGATAGTATTCTTTACTTAGAGGAGATTGGCCTTGCAATGGTTAATTTTTTGAAAAAAATGACAAAAATAATAAAAATTGTACGTATTTTTTTTTCAGACTGAATTCTTGAACATATGACCGTAATTCGGGAACACAGGACCGAACATTGTTCATTTGTTTGGGAACAGGTAATCGAACATTTCTTATTTGTTCGGGAATAGATAATCAAAACTCGTGGAGATCGCAAAACCCATAAAAGGGGAATTTTGAATTAACAACAAAAAATCCTATATTTATTTTTTCAGGTTATGAACAAGTATGTGGAGATAAAATAGTAATCACTTTCGTGAGTTTTGTTAGAGTTTTGAGAAGAGAGGCTTTTTGAGGTGTTGCGGTGTGGGTGTAGGTGTATGCATTCAATTGAATAGGTGAAATGTTTTTACAATGATAATTTTGGTACTATTTGGGGGGAAAAAATAAATTTTTGACGGTTTTAGAATTTTTAAGTATGGGTCCAAAGAAATAAAGGATTCAAAATAATGAATGGGGTGCTAATAGTAACACTCTTTGATGGATCTAATGTCTAAATAATAGGACTTACTGTAATACAAGAATATACTAACTGGAATACAACTACTTGAAAAGAGATTTTCTAATAAATCTCTCAATTATTTTCTTATATTTTAATAAATCCTATAGGTGGCATAGTTACTAAACTCCTCCTAATAATAATATTCACATTAGGAGTGTGAATGTTCTATGATGTGATCATTCATTCTATAAAATATGAATATTCACATCACCACGTTGTTAAGTGTTCAAAAAATACTTTAAATATGAGAATTAAGATTTGGTGGATTAAATGTCCACATAATAGAATTTATTGGACTAGAAGAATATGTTACGGAAAATGTTGTAGACCCCAAATAAATTATTAATTTTTTTACCAAACCTCTCACATGGGTGTGAGACCTATGTGATTTGTGTGAGTCTCATATCCACGTGAGAAGTTTGATGGAAAATTTGATAATTTATTGGGATCTCTAGCATAATTCATATGTTATAGACTAATTGAAATACAAAATGTAGGGATGCAGCTCGAGCGGGTTTGAACGGGTTGAGAGTTTGTCCAAATCTAACCCAAGTTCTGCGGAGAGCTGCTCAGGCCTGCCCAAGCTCGAATTGTAACTCGAAGTTGTCTACTTAAGTCCGATCTAAGTTAAATCCGAATTGCCCAATTTGCCCAAGTTACCCGAATTGCACATAAATTTAAGTTTTTTTTTTCCCCCTTATCTTTTTTTAGTGCAGCTAAGTTAATTAATTTGTTTAAATTAAATTTACAATTTTTTTTTTATAAAATCATTAATAACATGAAAATAAATAATTTATATAATGTAAGAGAAATTTCATTACAATGGCTTTTACAATGTATGAACGAGAAAAAATAAATAAGTAAAATTTTATATTGTGTTACTTGAATATATAACATATATTTAACCCTAGAAGCGCTATTTGTAATAGCGACTTATTAATCAAAGTCGCTATTTGTAATAGCGATTTTACTGTTCACCTACTTTTACGCTCCTAACAGTGAAAGCGCGAATAGTAATAGCGTTTTAACTTAGTTTTGGAATTCCGTCAGAAGTTGGCCTAGTTTTAGAAATACGATACAAAAATGGCTTATATTGGGAAATGGCCCCAGTTCCACCATAACAAAATTTTCCTAATAAATCCCCCAGTTAATTTATATTTCATTTATATTTTTTTCATCATTGTCCTTTTCAAATTCATCCCCCTCTCTCTCTCTCCGCCTGGACTGTTCCCTGATGCTCACGATTACGGCCTATAATCAAACCCTAACTTTCTCTCTCTAAGCATACCCACACACACACTCTCTCTCTCTCTCTCTCTCTCTACAATTCTATCCAGTCGACCTCATTTGACCCCAAGAATCCCGTGGTACGAAGCTTTCGATTCTCATCTCTCATCTCTCTCTTAGATATATGTTTCTGTGTATGCATGGTTTCAAGATGTCTATTTTGTACTGTTTTATTAACATTTCTTTTTTATTTTTGTATTTCCCATATTAAAGTTTTTTTTTTTAATTTTAAATTTTAAAGAATTGAATAATTTAATTTTGGATCACAGATTTCTGGCTAGTCTTCAATCAAGGGCATGTGCTGGTGATTATATAGATTTTTTTTATATATAATAATTGGAGTGAGTTTACTTAGAGCTTTATATGATTCCTATTACTTTATATTCATTTTCTATCTGTCTCCTCGCGTGATTGTTTGCTTTTTCACGATGTTTCGTTTGTGGGTGTGACTTAGCTTTATCTCTGACTTGTCTATATGTACTTACATATCTTGCATTTTGGGTCTCTACAACTATCAATTTATCTTGGATCTAGATTTTTCTCAAAAGGGTCAGGTTGGTATTGTTCTTTTCTTGCTGAATTATGCTTTGATTGCACAAAGATTTACAAAAATTTGATTCTTGATTTCTTGTTAGCATTTCAATAAGTAGTACTGTGCAATGTATGATACATTAATTGCTCATGCTGTTGGTGTGGTAATCGAGGATTATTTGGAGAGGTGTTCAAATTGGGTGGACATGCATGGACATTGTGATCTGAATATGTTTCCTTTTGAACTTTTCATGAGGCTTGAGTTTTTGGTTATTTCGATCAATGTTGTTCTTGAATCAATACCTGTCTGATGCTTATGTGGAAAATCTTTGGACTTTGATTTCAATGTCTCAATGAATTGTTTTATATTGTACATTTCCTATTGAGTTATCATGCTTGTTCAAAATCACTAGTTTACAACATTCAAGGAAGGCAAGATGAAAAGTTATAAAGAAAAAAATGGGTACATGGGAGAGATACAACTAGAAGTAAATAGGTAAACAGATAAATATTCATTATGAACAATTCTTTACAATTTTATTAAACATTACAAGTTTTTACTACATAATAATATATTTCTTTGAGAAAATAGTCATGTTGCTTGAATGTGAACGTGGAACTAGTTCCAACATGATTTATTGCTGCTACGTCTGTTTTATTGTACTTTGCGAAGCTTCGAGTAGCCCTTATTTCGTGTTTTTTAAAAGTTATATTCCAATAATATTTTAGAAAGGCCCCATCTCAATGTTGAAGACATGGGAATGTGTTCAAATCAAGCAGCATTGACATTTATTTCAAAATATCAGTAGTTACAAACATAAGACATGCATCAGGAGTAACTGAAAATTGGTTTCCAAGATGGATATAACTTCTTTGTAATAAGTGTTTGTGTTGGATAGGGATTTATATTGCTAAACTTCGTGGTGTGAAAACAATGTTGGACCCTTTTGATGATTGTCTTCTTCTTCTTTCCCCTTCTCTGTTCCTGGAATGTTCTAGATGATGTACTTCAAATTGTACTTTTAGGTAGGGCTGGATATTGATACCCCATCTTGTATTTGCAATGTATATGTTGGTGTTTGTGCTTCTGCTTCTGCTTGTTTAGCCTTCTCTTTTTGTTTTTTGGTCTGTTGGTGTAAATTTTGATTACAATCGTAGTGTGCTTCATTCAGTGTATTAGGATTTCTACCCATACACCAATTAATTATAAAAAATGTAAAATTGATCCACAAAAGCATGTTGACTTTTGTTGTTCATTATCTTCCAAGTTACATTTTCCCCTAGTGCTTTCATTCTCAGGTTCTTATCTTGCAAGCTTGCCTTCATTAAATTAACGTCTACTTCCAGGACAAAAACGTAATCTTATTTGTTTGAATCCAGGTTTTGGAGCTTGAATCTGTTTGTAAAATGAGCCAAGTGAATATCTATGTATTGTGATGATTGCAAAAAGCAAAGAACATGTGTGTTTTGTTGTTATATTATTTGTGTCATTTTTAGATTATTAATGCTTAATCAAACAATTTAAAGAGGGATGATTTTCCCCCATTTTGATATCATTGTCAACTCTACTTCAATGAACCAGGTAGTGAGTTGGGGTTATCCTTCAGTAAAACAAAAACTGCTTCATCAATGGCTTTCTTTCTTTATGAAGCCCTTGTGTAGGGATTGAAAGATTTAATAATATTACCAAAAGATTCATTAATCAAGTGTCACAAGCAAAAATAACCAAATTGTTATCATCTAGTTTGCAATATTTATGGACAAGGCAATGATGGTATTTATTCTTCATACATTATATATGGTTGCTTTGCTGGACGATTATATGACTTAGGGTTAGTTGCAATTGATTAATCATGTCCCACATCCGTAGCTTAAATTTAATATACTTGAATGTAATTTTTCTTTGAAGTCTAAACTATTCTATCAAACTTGAGGATGTAGCCCTTCTGATTGATCTTGTATGCCATTTTAAACTGATATGTGAAAGGTGTAATATATTTGTTTTAATTGGTTCATTATTGCTGGAAAGGCTGTCATTTGATTCGCTCTGCCATTTACATGGGCTGTTGATGGTACATGGATGATTCAAGCAGCGGGGAATAACATACATGTGTCTGCTTTCCCATGCACGTGTTTTTTCATATTGGTAGATCTGTTCATTATGATAGCTTTTCAGTTTTGTTTTCTGGATTGTCCATCCGTTAAGCTTTAAACTCTTTTCTAAAATGATTTCCAGGTTTGATTTGGAAATGGCAAAAGGTACCAGGGGACGACGCAGGATTGCTTCACGACAGTACAGGCCAACCCCGTACCCATTGCCATCACGTAATCAGGATGTATCAATGGTCACGAACCCAAAGAAACATTCGAAAATTTTGGAGAAGAAAGACTGGGAAAATGCTACCTGTTCTGTATGCATGGAGTATCCCCACAACGCTGTTCTTCTCTTGTGTTCCTCTCATGACAAGGGATGCCATCCCTACATGTGTGGCACTAGTTCTCGCTATTCTAACTGCCTTGATCAGTACAAGAAAGCCTACACAAAAGTGAAATCAACCCATCATGACCAAGCCTCGCACAGGTCAGCTGATAATCCAATTGTGGTGGGCTCAGTTTCTAGTTTGCCTGTTGAAAAGCTTGAAGTAACAGAGCTTGCATGCCCTCTTTGCAGAGGTCAGGTGAAGGGTTGGACCATGGTTGAACCCGCACGGCAATATCTGAATGCTAAGAAGAGAAGCTGTATGCAGGATAACTGCTCATTTGTCGGAACTTACAAAGAGCTTAGGAAACATGTGAGGGAAGAGCACCCTTCTGCTCGGCCACGGGAAGTGGATCCTAATCTTGAACAAAAATGGACACGGCTTGAGCATGAGCGAGAACGAGAGGATGTGATAAGCACGATAAGATCGTCGATGCCTGGGGCAATGGTTTTGGGTGATTATGTGATAGAAGGAAGTCATTACGGGTTTGATTCAGATGAAGAGGATGATTTTGATGTGAATGTAGCAGAGAGGAATGAGGGTTTGGAACTGGGAATTGATAGCAATTTGGTTGATGTCTTTTTCTTATTCCATGCATTTAGACCAACAGGGAATCTTGGTCAGAATAGAGGGATGCGTCGGCAGGAGATAGATTTGAACCGCACATTGGATGAAGTTGATGGGTTCGATTTGTCTGATCAGGACAGTGACAGTGACGATGATGATGGTGCCAATGAGGGTATGTCCTTGGTTGGTCGTCTTCGTCGCCAAGGCAGGGTTCTACTGGGACAGTCGGGAAGGAGACGAAGGCGTAGAGAGGTTGGTTAGTGGGGGCCAGAGATAGATCTAAATGGTGATGAAAAATAATGGAATTTGGAGAAGATTCTTAGGTCTGTTAATTTAAGAGTAGAGAGAAAAAAAGAAATTATTATTTCCTTTACATTATTTTCTTTTAATCTGTGATTATTGGTTGTGCAGTAGAATGACTGGAAAATGGAAGGTGGAAAAGGCTGTTTTCCCACCGTTGTGCTATTCTTAATTTGTAATTTGTGTGTTTTATACTGTAAAAATTGTATTTTACAATGTTAAGAAAAACTTTGCTATAAGTATTTTTTATTTAGTTATTTTTTTTGATGTTAGTTGTTAAATAACTTTGCTGTAAGTATAGATCCATTCCTCAATCAATTTCAGTAAGATTTTGTTCCCAAAAATTTAATATCATTATGATTTTTTGTTTTTGTATATCAAACCAAAACTGAACACATGATAATTTTTTTGGATCTGATTCTGTCATCTACATGCCAAACGCATGATAATTTTTTTTTCTTTTTTCATTTTCCCTTCCCTTTTCATTTCCCTGCACAAGTTCGTCAAATCCTTGATCCAAACAATGTAAACAAAAATCACCAGACCTGTAATAATTCATGAACAAGACACAAGTCATACCAAAGACAAATCATTTTAAGGCATGCAATACAGGAAATTAATAGCTGCCATTTCTTCTGATGGACGGTAGTATACAAGTCATTTGCATCAACGGCTCTGAATCACAAATATTTGCCAAGTCAAGATGATCCTAATTCTGAGGCAAACATTCTCACCAATACAGAAAAAAGAGGACTCAAATAAACAAACCAATGGCATGTCCCTTACAATTACAATTTGTATAGATCCTATGATTTGAAGTACATACTCAATGGAAGATACAAAATGTCATATTACAGGAAGTAGAATACACAATACAACTTGTCATAACTCATTGACATGTCAACTATTTAGGCCAACAAATAATTTTTTTCCAGTATCGGCTGCAGAAAACTTGACGGCAAAATATTAACCAATTTCAGTGCAAGGAATCAGGAGGTTAAGCTGCACATGTCAACAGTAAAAGAAACTGGTCTTACTGGCAAATGGCTACGTCTTTGCACCCAGTTGGCAAGGCCGTGCAATGTAATCTCGTGAATACTGGACACAGAAGTGAAAGGATGTGAAGATTTGCAATTTTACAAATCTTTCTTCTTACTAATGCATGTTGGAACACCATAGCATACTGGTGATGCCCCGATCAAGAAAGGGAGTATGCAAGCTTCTCGAGCTTGACCCATGAAAGAACCAATCTTTGGTCTGTGGTTACAACAATTATTACAGATGCTATCATCAAAATTTTCAGGCATATTTTTTCTTGATGTTTTCTTCTTAGCATTTCCTTTAGTTCCGGTTATCTTCATGGACTTGAACTTTTCTGCAACTGAAGTGCATTGAACACAACCCGTGGAAGCAGTTGATCTTTCTTTCAACAAACAATCAAGCATGGCCTTGCCAAATCGATCAATGTCCTTGTCCGTCACTTCCCACAAATTAGCAACTATAACAGGAGAACCTGCTAACAGATAGCAGATAGGAGCACCTTGTGGAGCGTAACTACCATTCAAAGATAGAGATCCACTACTGCAACCCATCAGGAGAGTAGCGGCACAATTTTCAAGTTTCTGAATTTCATGCCCTGGAATATGCTGTGCTCCTGAATCATGTACAAACAACCAATACTCAATACTGATCCAAAGAGAAAATATCTTGATTTAAATAGTGTAGGTAGAACAAAGATGAAGGCACTGCAATTAAAGGATATTTTTTAAAACATTCCCCCCCCCCCAAAAAAAAAAAACTAATGTCAATATATACGGAGGATTAAATTATAGAAAGAGAACAAAAAGAAAACTTGTAACAGTTTTGATCAAGCATACCGCTTCCATGACCAAAATAAATGAAGAGATCATGGCTTCTCAAGGCTAAAACCATCTCTTCAATTGTGGGTGCAGTTCCTGCCTTTCCCTGTACAGCAAATCAAATATAACATCATTTGAAGAGAATGACAAAGCAAACACTAATATTGAATACACTCCAACATTCAATACAAAGCCCCACAAATGATTGAACAGGGGACACATTTATAGGCATGGATGTGAGCATATTGCTAATAAAGGCTTAAATAAGCACAACATAATATGTTCAGGTTTCCTTATCTTGATTGTTTTCGTAAATTAAAAACAATACTAGGGAGTTACCTCCAAGTTTTGATTTCTAAACCAATCCTCAAATTCAACTTGTGTGCTGCTGAGATCACCACCAGGATTCAACAAATAAAATGCATCCAGCGGATCCATCAATGGAAAGATTACAGGATTCCTCCAAACTTGCTCCTTGAGTTGGCAGCATCTATCAAGTGTGGCAGAGATGCTGCCGATAGAAGGCATGCGGTAAACCTCCTGGTTCCTTAGTAACGGTAGATTTTCCCATGGAAGCATCTGCACAGATTAATCAGTTGCTATGAATGAAACCAAGTGTGCAAAAATGGCAGAATGAAAAGGGAAAAACAAACAAACTTTAGTTCTCTAATTGAAAAGAGTTACTTATGAGCTGTATTGTGTCCATATGAGCAGCAAGGCATCTTGTGACAACAAGCATTTTTTTGGTAGTTTTTTTTTTTTTTTGGTGGGGGGCAATTGGTCTCATTAATAAATTGAAGCATTTCCAAGAGTACAAAAATAAATAAAACAGAAGGGACTGCATGGAAAGATGTAGTTCAAGTCCCACAGCTTTCACGTATTCATAAATTTATTACAATATAGTTATAATTTACAATCAATAATACTTTCATTAGGGAAAACAATAATAAGTACTAACTCGATCACCTAGTTCAAAATGCTTCCAACTGAACGAGTAAATTCAATACCAAGACCATCCAAAACAGCATAAATATTACACATCATTGGATAATCTAAATCTGGAATAGACATAAAAAGGAAAAAATTGAGAAGATAAGGAATGAGAAACTTGAGACCTACCTGCACATCAAAATCTAATACCAGAATTACTGGTTCTCTGTTTAGACACTCTTCCTCTTCAACTTCACGGGCTGCTTCAAGTATTAGTTTTAAGGCCTTCTTGGACAGACTTTCAACTCCATCACTTGTATCAGCATATGTTCCCCACCTCTCTTGATCACAATATCCCACTCCATCTATGAAACACCCTTTGTTCAGAATTAGCTGCAAAATGCTTTCTTCTCTTTCACAAATATGCTTAGCACCTCCTATAATAACTTTAATCAGGCTCTCATGTGCGTCCACTTTACATTTAACTTTCAGATTATGCATGAGTTTCTTTTGTGACTCCTGGTGCTCACAACCAGACCACTCCCCCAAAAGCAAGAATTTCCAGGGACCAAACCATGAGTCTTCCAAATCCCTGAGTCATGAAGGCATAAAATTGTGAAATTACCAGCTAATATATTATTTTGAAAAAAGAACCACACAACTAGTATTACATGACAGTAAAGACCTTGTTATGATCTGATTGCCTTCAAATTGCTGTCAATAAGACAAGCTGTCAGTAGCTACTGATTACCTTTGATACATGTGACACATGATGTACAAGTTTGTGTAGATATTAAAATGGAGAACAGTAAAATAGCAGGAGAGATCAATCCAGTATGCATCGTATTGAAGGAAAGACCAAAGGATTTTGATGAAGGGAAGACCAACCTCAAAAATTTGCCAAGGCGCTGATCAAGACTCTTTCTCTGCATCCACCACAATGACCTGTTCTTTTTTGTATCTTCTAAGGGTTGCATTGACGATGATAAGTAATTCTCCTCCAAAATCAGTCTAAAGACTGGGGCTATGTAATCAACCACAGTAGAACCCCAAGGACAGTGCCAGCGTTTGACACAAATTTTGTCTTCAAAAAGAATCCCAGAACCAGAATTTGTATCATTGTCCGAAGCATCTGATCACATTATGCAATAAATTTTAGTGAATTGAACCTCCTAAACATGAATACAGGAGGAAGATTTACAACTTTTCCAAGTCAAAAATGGAAGAGAAGTTACCTTCTAAAATTGAATCCACAGGCAGAAGTATAACAACAGGTTGACTATTTGAATTCAAGCGAGATAATAAGATCCATGCATGAGGGCAAGAGGGATAATCTAGCAATTCGGTCAATAAATTGGCCAGAGTGCCTCCAAGCAAACTAAGACAGATAATTGCTGTACAAGGAAGGCCCTGAAAAAATCTTAATACATATCCTTCAAGATCTTGGAACAATTCAGGTGCAAGCCTGCAGTAGGAAGAAACAAAAAAATTAAATACAAATTCATTAAGCTGAAGTGTGTTTTGAACCAATTTGCTACATTCTGAACAAGAGCAGCCAAAACCTGAGTAAATTGAGTGTTTCTGAACCAATAGAACTTGAGCCAGTAAGACAAGAACCCTGAGTAAAAAGGAGGGGAAAAAAACACATGAAGTAATGGCAAAGCAAATATCTTTCATTGTCCATCAAACATGAAAAAGAACCAAGGAATACCAAGCTAGCCATGCTACCTCGCCAAACAAACAGGGAGAGAGAGAGAGAGAGATGAAAAACCAGAAAGCTCTAAAAAGCAGCACATAGAGGTCTGGTAGGAATGCTCCAAGGAGGTGATGTTAGCGGTACGTAGTGTTAAGTCACCAGTTGTCCCAAAAGCTCAAGTTGTTAGGAAATGACGCCCAACAATATACATCAAGCTACCCAACACCCTCCCTCACATGCAACCCTGCCCTGCATGTGGGGATACAGCATTCACACATAGAGAATAAAGAATGCAAATGGGACCAAATGCAAGTTGAGAGACTAGAACCTAAGACCTCCACCAACGTGTGCTCTAATATCATGTTACTTACAAACTGTCCCATGAGATTAATTTGCTAGGAAATGTACCCAACAACGTATATCAAGCTATCCACCAAGTATATCTTCAAATGTGGAAATTTGCAATTCCCCCAAATGCTGACAATCTGCAGTCCCCCAAACCCTCTCTCTTCTATGTTTTATTATTCTAGATCCAAAAGTATATCTTCAAATTGTGATCCGAAAATTCTCCCAAGAGGAAGGATGAAGTAAGAAAGATGAAGATGATAATGGAGAAGGATGAGACAACATAGTGGTACTAGCCTACTAGGAAGTAGGTGTTTGTGTGAGGGTTGTGTCCAAAGAGAGACTAAAACGTGTTGCTCTGGCAGATCAAAGTAGAGGGAGAATCAGAGTAGGTCATCATGTAGATACTACTTTAAAGGACGTTTTTTTTTTCCTTTTCAAATATGCTTTAAATATGCCACAGAGACAATTTTTTTAGCATTGGCACTAGAGCAGCCTTTGTTTCTTTTTTTCCCATCACTCTATTTCTATAAATGCATATCTTGCACATTTTTTTTTTTTAAAAAAAAAAAGGAAGATGAACAAAAATTAGTGGCCATGTGGAATCAAGATGTATCCAAATAACACTAGAGAAAAAGAAACCCAAGTTGAAAGCTCTTTAATGCCTTGTAATACACTAGATAAAGTAAATATTATTAAAGAGACAACACAAACAAATGAAAATGGTGGAGATAAAATCAATAAAAGAGAAGACATCCCAGAATTAACAGCCAAAACACGGACGCAGTTCTGTTTAGGATTGGTTTTGGACAGTATATCCAAACAATAGGCAATATCATAAGCCCTAAGGCATACCTCAACATCCATCGGGTCTTGAACTTTTTGCTTCCCTGTCATACTTGAAAAGAGCTGGTGGTTAAGATGTGTACCAAGAGAAGCTTGATGAAAATACGAAGCCCAGTGGCTTTCAGAGAGTGCTTTGCAAGGAGAGAGAGACGGAGAAAAAAGTTCAGTTGAGGCAGAAATTACAAAAATAGCAGCAAGCAACCGGGAAACCTGTTGTAATATCATGAATGGCCAAACATCAATCGCCAAAAACAAATGTTGAAAAAAAGAAAGAAAAATTCAAAGGGATTAATATGATATACTGAGTTGATTTCTATTGACTACAGCATATGAATTCTAAGGCATGAAATGACTTGAATTCAGGAAACCAAATGACTTTGACTCAGTGGCATTTTCAAGCAATATATTCCAGTAAAGTGCTTCTGGGTTGAACACTAGTATCGGATTAACATGTACTCCATTTACAAGTGTATAGGTATAGCATCAATACACCACCGAAGACCCATTGAAAACTAGAACGGAAACCATGCATTACTACAAATTATAGTTTTTTTATTACTAGTTTTTGTATGGACTTACCCAAGCCATATTTGTATCTTATTTTTTCCTAGGTTTTGCTGTATCGGAGTACCAGTAGTACCATCTGTACCCATATCCGCGCTTCATAGTCTTCAACTTGCAACCATTGTAAACCTATTATTGTATAGCTTGAGATGCTATATGTTTTTGAAGAACAAGGCACTTAGGAGATTAAAACATTTCAGGATCATTTGGGCGATGCAATTTTAACCTTCTCTAAAACTTCTTTATTATTATTATTATTAGTATAGCAAAAACCTTCATTTGAAGGACTATGCACATCTTTTGAAAAATACTTATCTTCAAAGAGATGATCACATTATACATATGATTTCTATCAACCTTTAGGACTAGGGCTTCGTGTTAGAGAATTTTGTTCAGAAATTTCCTTACATAGCCTTGTTCTAATTGTTTGAGAGGTATCCTTCATCCTCTTTTTCCTCTCTCATCCTCTTTTTCCTCTTCAATAAAATTCAGTCTATTTTTCGATAAAAGCAACAACAGCACCAAAAGAAAGAGAAGGTAAAGCAACGTTTGACCTTTTGGACAAGTACGGGAACCTCACGACAGAGAACAAAGGCTAGCATCAACAAAGATATGAGTCTTGGTATTTGAATGTGGGTCAAGTCACAACAATTGATCCTGAAAAACATAAAAACACAGACAAGAAAAGAACATGAATTAGTAAGACAAAGGCAACCTGAAGCATAAGTTAAAATTAATAAATAGTCATAGATTCAAGCTCCCGAATGAAGTAATTGCATTGATCTCCAAATATATCAAACCAAAACAAACCAAACCAAACTAAACCTTGTGTCTCCATAGATCTCCAAATAATTAGTGGAAAACTCTAGTTCGACAAAGGGAAAGGTAAAATAATCAATTAATGCCTACTTAGTTGCAAAATGTTGTCTTTGTGAGAAAGTACAACATCTTTCTTGTGTAACAGCAATGTTTAGACGCAATAGTAATTTTATCAATATATGCCTACTCAATTGCAAAATTTCATGTTAGTCTTTCATCAGACATGTACAAGATATCAATAATTAATGATAAGCTGGAATTTGTTTGTCCAGGTGAATCAAGTTTTGAAGGGAAGAAAGCAATTTACTTTCTCATTTCTATAAGTCAATATTCATCGGCTGCTTCGTTAGTTTTAGGCTTTTATTTAAAGAACAAGGAGCTAAAGCTAACATGCAAATATTACATTCCTGGGAGTAACACTAAGAGTGACACAAAATCATGTATGGAGTCTTTCAAATCAAAATAACCTCAGCGCACATATGGATTTTCTAAAGTGCTGATTTCTACATGATACCCAGGTAAACTATATCAGTAAATTATAACAAAATAAAACAAATGTTCAGACACATTTACATAAAAAGGGTGGATTGGGTGATGAAGATCATGGAAAGAAGAAAAAGAGTAATTCTGGAATTTCAGATGAAGAACATTTAGGGCATCAAGAATTAAAGATTTTGAATAATTTTGAGTTTTCGTGTCATTATAGTAGGTTTTAGTAATTAAGGGTATAATGGTAATTCCAATAATTGTTGGACATGGGTTGTAAGAGTCACCCATGGGTTTTATTTTGGGTCAAGTTATTAAATGGGTTTTATTATGTTTAAAATAATCTTAGTGGTCAAAAGTTTAAGTTTCCTATTTTGATATTGAAGTAGAATTAAAAGTAATTAAAGTTTCCTATTATGATTGAAGTAGAATTAGAAGTCATAGTTGGTTTAGAATATTAATAGTTGGTAAATATTTTTAATTTCTAAATTTGATAAATAGTCCTTATAGAATTAGGAGAATCTTTAGCCTATAAATATATGTGTAATCTCAATGATTCAATAGCAGAGTTAATATTATGAAAATATGAGATTGTGTTTGTGTGATTGGCCTATCCCTTGTAAGGGTGAAGCACTTCTCTCTCTCTCTCTCTTTCTCTCTCTTCTTCTTCTTCTTCTTCTTCTTCTTAATCTCAATGATTCAATTGCAGAGTTAATATTATGAAAATTTGAAATTGTATTTGTGTGATTGGCCTATCCCTTGTGAGGGTGGGGCACTCCTCTCTCTCTCTCTCTCCCCTTCTTCTTCTATCCAGAAAGGTTACTGTTCACGTCACTATTCACAGTGCTTAGAACAACCACCCAACTGTCCCTAAACACTTGTGTTTTCATTCCCAAAACCCTACCTTTTTACAAACCCTTAAACTCCTATTTTTTAAATATTTTTGCAGCCACAAAATCCCACTAAATGCAACCCTATAAGTCTATTGTTGCTACTGCCAGTATACTTAAACTGGGCTCACTACTTGTAGGAAAGTAATCCCTACTCGTCCTACATCATTGGGCCAATGGCAAGGCTTTCCATTTGCGTCCTTGGAGGCACAAGTTGAAGTCACGAAACCAACCTCTACAATGGGGGTAAGGTTGCGTACATCTTGCCTTCCCAGACCGTACTTTAGTGGGAGGCTTGTGCATTGGGTCACACTTTTTACACATTTACACAGACAACATATTGTATCCATGGATACATAAATGTGTAGATGCTGTTTAAGAATACCTGGTATCATTGCAAGGGTAGCTCTTTAAAGTAAACCAACAAATGTTGTAAAGTATTGCTGCACGTTCAACTGCTAATGGATCTCCAGGGATATCCTTCCCAATCAAGTCAAGTAAGAAACTGAGTGGCACAGAAGAGTGTGCAGAAAATGCATTTCTGCTGACCAGCACAGATGAGCTTTGCAAAACTATTTCATGTGCTTCATGAATCTCACCACGAACCTCCAAGCATTTTCCTGCCCAAAAACTAAATCAGAAGAGATAAAAAGCGAGCGAGAGAGGCTGTGGAAGTCCACCCAATGGGTGTCAAAATCAAGTCCTAGATAGCATAAAAATAAGGGAACAGAAACAGTTTTAAACACAACTACATATTCATAAATATGAATTTGTGTGCATTTACTGTTTAGATACATATACACAGATTAAGGAACATGTGTATATATACACACAGGCACAACAAAGAAAAATGCCTAAGACCCCCAGTGGGGGTCACTGGGGGTCATGAATGGAGGCTTCCCATTGGTCAAAAAAAAAAACTGTTTTTTTAAAAAAAAAAATTGTTTTTTTTTTTTTGTGATTTGGACGAATGGCACGCTGCCACCTCACTGGGGGTCGACCCCCAGTGGGGGTCTGTAGCAAAGTTGCACAACAAATAACCAACCATAAATATTCAATCATTTTCTCATACATCTATAGATATCACCAACTCAAAACAGTTGTTGTCCATAGCCAGCAACCACACAATTCGGAGTTATTGCAGAGACTGTTTCCCCTTTTCTCCATCTTTTTTTACAATCACAAAACTGGAAATAATACAATATATACCGCAACCAAGCACTTTTTAAATTAACAAAGGGTTAATCATTCTAATACTAGTTGCATAAAAGGTAAAAAATGTTTCAGTTGAAAAAAACACTATTAAATCAACAAAACAAAGAAAAGTTAAGGGTTACTACAGCAAGATTTCCTCAACTATAAACACAGAGAAAGAAGCACTTGCGCAGATGCACAGAGAGAGCTGTTTGTGCACATGTACCCCAATGTTATTTCAACATTTTTAGTGCTAAAATATTGGTGTTGATTAGTCTCCGGTATAATGTGTGCTGTCAATAACCGTATAATATTGTAACTTCACTAGCTGCTTTTCCATGAATATGAATTTCACTAGATGAACTAGCAGCTTAATAAAGACTCCTAAATCTGTTTCATTTACCATGTATATCCTTCCACACCCACCTTTTTTGTGATTGGTCAGATCGTTTCGACTACTAGAAGAGTTTAAGAAACAACAGGAGCAATAACTATAAACTGTCGGATTAGTCCTCTGAAATTTAGGCAAAAAAGTATATAATTCAACAAATAACTGAGCCATATCCCTTTATTCCAGGTGGAACTGGTCCTTTGTACAATATCTCTTCCAAGGGAACATAGATTACACTTCTAATTACCAACAACATACAACTATCAAACTAAACACGGGTTTTAAAAGGATATTACATCAAGAAGCTTCAATTTGATGTTTTATTTGGTTGAAAAGAGCATAGCAATGAGTTTTAAACAAAGTTATATTGGTTGAGTCAACACTCTAAGACAAATTATAATTAACAAAAATCATAATTTCAATTTATTCCCTGAAAGTCTTCAATTTCACTTATTCATAATATTTACAAGAGTATATTTTGTGCAATTGAATACTGAGTGTGCATGCACAAATAATTTTCAAAAATCAACCTAAACTAAATGTTTTAACCACCGCACCTATGCCAGTGAGGAGCCTCAGTGAAAGCTGCCTGCGGGCAAACTCCCATTTCATTCGCACAAAATTGTTTACACACCCAGATTCCATAACATCAATATGAAGACAGTACCAACACCTCATTTTGTTGCAAACACATATCATTTCACATCCAGAGTCTGCAGCAGAACTTCCAATTCCCAAGAGTGGGACTATCTGCCCAAGGGCATCAGGAAAAGCAAAATGCTGTCCATTGTTTGAATATTTAGAAAGCCCTACCTGTACCTCACAGGGAATGCTTTCATTATTTCTCTGAGAATGATATTTGGACCGAGTCATTCTTGGATTATGCTCTGCCATCAAGCATTGTCCCTGAGGTAAAGGATTCAATGTTTTCTTAGTCTTTCTAGACTTTTTGGGTTCCTTTTTTGTTTCAGGGACATCTTTTTTGGTTAGGAACTCCTTGATATCTAAATGATTTGTTGTGCAGGTAAAAGAATTGCTTGCACAAATGCCAACCTCCCTCTCAAGAGCATCACAAGTGATTGTGTTCTCAGCACCAACTTCCTCAGGATTACTCACTGAATTTTTCCACTCAGAACGATTAAGTTTGTCTAAAGCTGATTTGTACAGATCTTCTGCATAACATAATCTCTTTTCAGAAACATTTGCTGTATTACTATCACGACGACTTCTGAATAAATCTCCCAGTTGCAGGTCAATGGTAACTTCCAAGAGCAATCTGCATTTCAAACAAGCAATGGCAGTACAGCTATCTGCTAGTATTTGCTTGGCACTTTGAAGTTCCTTTTCTGCCAAATCCCATTGACGTTGCTTGCGGTACAGTCTTCCTAAGAAGTTCAGACGCACACAGTAAGTTCGACAGTTTCAGCATTCTTTCCTGTGAGTAAGAGGACAAAAGATACGTAGAAAAGGACCGAGAACAAGAGAGAAGGAAAGGTTTTTTTTTTCTTTTATCTTGATAAGTAAATAAAGAAAAAGTTTACTTGTACACCTAAGATAGAAGAAAATGCAACTTTGAAAAGACGCAACCCTTGGAAGCCAGAGATGTTTTTCCCCCACAATAGAAGAGTTTCAGCCTCAGATCCATTTCCAATTAATTCATGGATAATTCCAACCTGTTTTAACCACAGTACTTAAATAACAGTGGTAAAACACACCAAAACCAGATTCAACTTCTGAGCAAAAATATTATAGGGATAAACAAGTCAAACCTGTAAAGTGCTTTCAAGATAGCACTGAAGTATATTCCATGGAGTAAGAATACAGCCTTCCAAGTCACATAAAATAGTATCATGAGACCAAACCGTTGTAGCCACTGAACTACATATTTCGAAAGTACTAAGATTGTAACAACGCTTCTGAATGATTTCCCCATTTTCATCATAAATTTCACTCTGCTGCTCTACAGAGTACCTAAATTTTTCTTGCAAGAGTTTACTACGTAAACGATGGGCTTCTTTTGCATATGAAAGAGCCTACAGAGTTGAAAAAAACTCATTAGAAAAGGTTATGTTACAACAACCAAAAAATCAAATGTTTCTAATGGAAGCCGTGTGACATACAGCACACAAATTCAATTAATTTTTAAATCTAATTATAATAAAAAACCAGTTTGATAACCAGAACGTAACAAAGAAAATTCTACCAGTAAGAGTATTGGCAATGACAGGTAATAGTGTTATTCAGCTGATATTGCCATGTCTCTATTCAAGTTATTGTATTTCTTTCTTCAAATGTATAAAGCAACTCAAGGGACAGTGCAGAGCTACTCAGAAGGCTATTATAAAATTAAAACTTCTTGTACAACTGGTATGAAAGTAAAAACAACACTGCACAAAATGCATCTACATTTTAAACAGCATAAAGAGTCACTCACGACAAAGAGGAGACAGGATAGTGATTAAATAGAGGAAATATAAATTTAGTGAGATACCCAGACATATCCGAGCAATGGGATATGTGGGATACAACGTACACTAATCCAACACCAGTCCAAGCCAAATTTCTCATTTTTGCAATAGACTCTCTGTTCAAGATATGTAACTAAATGTCTAGATCTCATTTTCATTCATGCCGTTTAAATTACACCAAAAGGGGAATTAAGAAACATGCAAAGAAAAAGGAGGAAAGAAACATACCACACAAGCATTAATTAACCAAAAAATAGTGCCTTATAATGGCCAAAAAACAAGCAAAAGCCTAAACTATGTGCAAATTTTTAGGTATGTTTCATATGATAAGCCAAAAAACATCTAAATGCCCCTTCTTTTACATGATTTTAGGATCTAGGACCTCCTAAAAGACTTCTTGTTTGGTTTGGAAACCCGGAACCCAGACCTCTCACTCGCCAGGGATCTAAAGAATAAATGCATCGTGTCAGAAAATAATTCCATTATACTGGGAGTTACCTCAATTAGTTGTCCCTTTGAAATCATTCTTCCACACAAGTCGTGATAGAGATGAGCAGCAAGGAAAGCTGAACCACTGCAAAGAGGAACCTAAACAAGAAAAATCGCAACATTAACAGGTGAAAAAATACAGATTAACCTGAGTTAGCCAAAAACCAACTCTAATAGCTATTAAATAGATCTTACACTGGAGATAAGATCTGAAGCAGCATGCTTAACTTCATCAACTTTGATGTCTGATTGGAAAAAACCATTACTGCGACAAGAGCCACGGGAGATGTTAGTGAACATAAAGGAGAAGCTCTGGCGAAACCCTACTTCCAGCGGCCATGATCTGTTCATGCAACGTGCCCAGAAATCAATCGACTTGGAGGCTTCACCACAATGCTGTGGCAAAGTTGTAATGAATGCCTCACTCACAGGTGAAGCACAAAGGGCGTGACCAAGCCTTCTGTACTGCCACAACAAAGCCACACATTTCTCCAATGGAACATTATTCCTTTTAAACAATCTGATCAACAGCTCATATATGTCTGAGTGAAATTCGGTGCAACCCTGAAGATAAAAAAAAGAAGCAAGCGAAGGCAGTGAGGCAACTAAACTTAACAGTTTCATCTGAAAACTCCAAGCAAAATCTAGTCATGATAAGATTACAGAACTTACCTTTATTGATAACATATCAACAACATGATACAACACAGTCAAAATATTTTCAAAAACCATATCACACTGATTCTCTGCAAGGCAACAATCTGGTCTCAACCATAGATTTAGTGCAGCCTGAATATCTTGAAAAGGTCGCTGTTTGGCACCGAACCAAGCAAACATTAAAATAAATGGACTGTCTTATATAACTGAAGACATGTATTTATTATTTAATAATGGGGCCAAAAAAGATACAAAACCTTCGAGTTTGGTTCAGCCTCCTGGATACACAGTGCACGCAAGGAATATGCTACAGCTAATTGATGACGAACTGCAATACTCTCACAAGCTGCTTCACCATTCATGCCATTCTGAATTGGTAATTGGTTCATGTCAATCATGTAACCAAAGCCAGAAGGAGAAAAGGAATAATTACAAATTTGTTGAGTGGGGGGTGGGGGAGCAAAAAACTCAAGTTTACTCACCATTGTAGATATTGCTTCTGATAAACACTGAATACAATCATTCAGACCTTCAATTCCACAGGCCCGTAATTCCCTTCCTTTTGCAATAAGAATTTTAGATTTCTGTAAACAGCTATCATCTGAAACATACACTTCTGCTAGGAGGACAGCAATGATATCCATTTGCATCTTCTGACATAATCTTGGATTCAGAGCACTCATTTCATTATAAGCTAAGAGCTCCTGCATTTTAAGCATGAAATGAAAAACTCAAAACTGGAAAAAGGAATATAAAAATGAGACTACCAAAACTTTAAAAAGTAAAAGTAAGCTAAACCTGCTCTAATAATACACCAAGTGACCTTTTTGACACTTTTGCAGAAGATGAGAGCAAAGAATATAAGGATGTGGCACTATGCTCTGTATCTGGATCTTTACAAAGCTTACATTCTATCTGAAAACCAAGTAAAAATCAGACAGCAGAAATGCAAATTACTAAAGACAGCAAGAAGCTTTCAGACATTTACCTTCACCCACTGCTTCACCAAAGCTATAGGAGTCGGCAGCCTATTGAACACATTCTCAGCAGTGGACCAGTTTTCAAGACTATATCCCATGATTCTAGTCACCTTATTATGGCTGTCGCATTGATAAAGTAAATCAAGAAGAAAAGCACTTTTCGCACATGCCTCACTGACAAGATTTGCAACAGCATCTTCCGACACATCACTGCCAAATCTATTTGATTTGTTTACAAAAGCCTCACAAAGATATGAAACAGAAGTCCATGATGCCGTACAACATAATTTCAGCACCTTGGAAGCCTGTAAAAAAAAAATCACCTAAAATTTTGCATATCGACGTATCTTTCATTTTTTTGAAAATTTCTGTATTGACGTGTCTGTGTTTCTTAGGTTGTATATGGTCAGGTATTCATTTTGAGTGTGCCTAGCTCAACATTTTGGGACTCAAGTAGGCCACATCTTATAATATTTAATGGGGCTTGGTTGCATAAAACAATTTAATTCATTTAAACAATATGCCCACTGCTGTACCTAGATCCCATGTCACTTGAGTGAAAGTTCTTGGTCAGTATATTTAGGCTTGCATCACTTACTACTAACGACACATATTAATGAGAGCCCAGCTCAAAGTGGACAGTAATACTGTGGCTTGGGATTGGCTGAAAGATCTTGAGCGATGTATGTAGGAGTACATTTTGTTCACATGGAAAAAATATATATATATATATATATATGTACACTTACATCACTTCCTAGTAACGATGTGTTTCAAAGCCGTGGGTGCCTAGCCCAATGTGGACAGTATCATTACAGTTTGGGATGGAGGCATTACACCCAGGTTCATTAAGTTTTAGTATATTACAAACCAGTTGAACCACACAAACCCAAATTATTTTGGCTTGTTCTTTAATTGCTAGGTCCAGTTTTTTGGAACCAAACCAATCAATGTCAATTTGGTTCTAGGTAAAATAACCCAAACCAAACCAACTCACGTGCGCCCCTAGTTAACTTATGATCCTCTCCTACCTAATTCATTAACATCCTTTACCAGCTGGGTAAGGTAGGATAAACCAAAACTCAAAAAATAAAACAATCTTGATCATAACAACAAAAACCAATCCACCTTGTTTAGGAGCTCATGCATTACCCCCCAAAATTCTCTCAAATCAGAAAGAGCGCACTAAAAAGCTAAAGGATCTAAAAACTATTAGAAAATAGAACTAGTCTGACAACACCATTATTTATATATAAAAAAATTGCAAAATTAAAACAACAATAGTTCAATGATAACACAATTGTTTAGTCAAACATTGCGGTCATAGAAGTAAGATTTACTGCAAGTCAATATAAAGCCATATTTTCCATATCAAAGTACCTCTTTCACTTGCTTATTCCTATATAGAGTAACACCAACATTGTGAAGAGAGGCAAAGAGAAATTTAATGCCACTAGCTTGAATCCAATCAATAGAAATAACTTGCTTAATAAAATCAGCACTCTCCTGCAGTAAGAAAAACAAACCAATTAGCCTATGGATAAACCAGTGCATTACTTTCCTGCAACAATTGAAGGGAACCAAAATTACCAAATTGAATGGAAAAAACAATCTTGGTCATTCATAATAACTTGAAATCAAAATGGCAACCTTTGTGTAGAGCTTAGTTCTGAACGAGAGAGTGAAGGCAGCCAAAGCTACAATGAGTATTGTTTTGTCATAATCATCAAATGCATTGCTCTCCCATTCCAATGCACTGCATCCAAAAACAAAAGAAACCCCAGTACCCTTAATTATGTACTTAATTAACCTAATTAAACTACACAACCCAAGCTATTAAATGATGGATTCTCCAACAAAAGTTTCAGAGAATTTAATAACTTGGCTGAATTATCCTCAACAAAGGCACTTGTATTCTCTTCTATGAAAGTCACCCACTGGGGAACATTTCTGCCGACACTTGGCAGATAATATTTAATTGAAAGAAGCAAAGGAAGAATGATAACAAAGAAAGAAAAATTTCAAGCAGTAAATCAATAATATCCATGTCAACCAAAGATTGTAGCATGAGCAGCAGTAACTGTTACACTCACCTTTCCAAAATCTTGGCCCTTTGAATCCATAAATTATGTGGGTCAAGAAAGAAAGAATCAAGAAAATAACTTCAAATAAGACTATTATTGTATGAATCATTTAATTGGTTCTATAAGAAAGATCATTGACAATTAATGCACAAATTAGCCAATCATTGAACAGAACCAACTGGTTGTTTTTCCTGAGTACAAAAATGAAATAAAAAGTAGAATATATCATAAACATACCTGTGACAAAAAAGAAAAACATCACAAAATTGATGGAATGCATCCTGAATATCACATAGCTTGGTGGGAAAGGAAGCATCTCCAATTTCAGTAAATATCTCTTTCCTTGCTGAATTTACAAACTCAGCAAGTGGCTGGCACAAGAATTTCAGTGCATTACAGTAAGGCAGTAGATATGACTTTCCATTCTTTGTTTTACAAACTCTAGAAGCCTTATAATTTGAATCTCTGTGTAAATTTATTTCGTGTACAGAATCTGCGGAATAGTTGTATTCATCACTAATTGGCAAATTGCTATCGTTATTGCTAGTTAGAAAGTGACATTTCAATTTGCCAAGCAAAGCATTCAAATTATGGAGCACATCCTCCTTATCAAGCAAGAATCCTATCACAGGTCCATCATTCATGTTTCTCGTGGTCATGCTGCTGTCCTGCCTTGACTGACCATTGCAGTCACTGATGAACAACCCAGTACCATAAAGCCTCAGAATCAGGTCAAAAGGCAATGAAACCTGCGGAACAGTTGGATACCTTCCATGAAACACAATGATGGGAGAGAAGAAATGCATGTAATGCAAAGAAAGGAGTATTTTTTTTTTTTTTTGGATATGTAAAAGAAACGAGTAAATAACTATATAGTGCACAAAAAGTACCTGACAAAATTCACCTGCTATTTTGCTTAGATATGTTGCAAAGGCACTGCACAAATCTCTAGTTGCAATTCGACATTTATTAGCACAATAATAGACAAGTTCAAGAAATTCCATTGTAGTGCTTTCCATTTCAACCTGCCAACATAAATAATATTATGATTAGTATTAAAATTCAATATGAAGAGTTAAACCATAAATTGCAAAGCTTCAAGTAACAAGTGCAAATTGTAGATTCCCTAAGAGTAGGTTCTAAGACAAGAATATAAATGAATAGATAACAAAAAGAAACCATGTTACAATAAAGTTAAAATTCAGTATACAAAAAGAAAATCAAATAAAAAGGCAGTGCAAAAGAAGCAAATAAATTTATGTAACAGTCTCTTTCAACACTTAATTCTTCCTGTTAATCATTAAAATTGATACATCTTTGACAAAAAATCATTTTCCCTCCCAATAATATGGAATTGCAAGAGTAAAAATGGAGGTTCATCATATGTTGCATTCATGTCTTTTTGGCAACCAAGCCACACTGCAACATGTAAAGGATATATACCAAACACAAGCACAAAAACAATAATGTATAAGCAAACTAAAAGTTCACACATCAACCTTCTCTTGGGATCAAAAACCTAACTCCGAAGGTTTAGAGAAGAGAATGAGTTAGACTTCATTTCCTTTTATCTTACTAATACTGAGTAATTACAAGAGTGTCATAAGACATAATATATGTGCCAGCCCATTACACCAATCAAGGAATAAATAAAAAGAAAATACAATCACATATTTCCTATTCTAACTTGTTGCCTATTCTAACACTTCCCCTCAAGCTGGTGCGAAGATATCTCTCATGTCCAGTTTATTGAGAATGCTATGAAATGGTTTGCTCCCTAACCCCTTGGTGAGAACATCGACTAGTTGATCTCCAGTTTTCACAAATGAAATACATATAATGCCACTAGTGAGCTTTTCCTTGATGAAGTGCCTATCAATCTCCACATGTTTAATTCTATCACGTTGAATTGGATTATGAACTATGTTGATTCTTGTTGTCACAATAGTCACATGGAGTCAGTCTGATAAATTCTCAAGTCTCCCAATAGTAGTTTAATCCATAATAACTTACATACACCCTGAGCCATAACCCTAAATTCTGTCTCAACACTAGATCTAACCACCACATTTTGTTTCTTACTTCGCCATGTGACTAGGTTGCCACCCACAAATGTGTAGTATCCGAAAGTAGATAATCTGTCAGTGACTGATCCAGCCCAATCTGCATCAGTAAATGCCTCCACACTAAGATGGCCATGTTTTGAGAAATAGAGACCCTTTCCAGGAGAAGACTTCAGATATTTCAGGATTTTCATAACTACCTCCAAGCGGGAAGTTCTAAGAGCATGCATAAACTGGCTCACCATGCTCACGGCAATGGCAATGTCTGGACGTGAGTCGGATAAGTATATGAGTTTGCCTACTAGTCTCTGGTATCTTCCTCTGTCCACTGGATCTCCCTTTTAATCCTCACTCAATTTCTAGCACGGTTCTAGAGGTGTATCACATAGTCTACCTCCAAGCATTCTAATTTCCTTTAATAAGTCGAGTACATACTTCCTTTAGCATGTGAAGATGCCATCCTTGGACCGAGCTACTTCAATGCCCGAAAAATACTTCAAATAGCCTAAGTCTTTGATTTCAAACTCTTTGACTAAGTATTCTTTCAAACAAGGAATCTCCTCAACATCATCTCCTGTCAAAACAATATCATCAACATAAACAAGAGATGTGGTCTTACCATGTGAGGAGTGTTTCACAAATAAGATGTGATCAGCTTGACTTTGCTTGAACCCATATTTCAGCATAGCTTGAGCAAACCTTTCAAACCAAGCCCTAAGAAATTGCTTTAGCCCATAAAGTGACTTTCAAAGCCTACATACTTTACCGTTAGACTTAACATTCGCAAAACCAAGAGGAATATCCATGTAGATCTCTTCTGCTAGGTTTCCATGAAGAAAGGCATTCTTCACATCAAACTAATGAAGTGACCAATCCAAATTTGCAACAACAGAAAATAAGATTCCCACAAAATTCATCTTAGCAACCGGTGCAAATGTCTCCTGATAATCCACCCCATAAGTCTGAGTGAAGCTCTTAGCAACCAGTCTTGTTTTGTATCGTTCTATGAAACCATCTGCTTTGCGTTTTACCGTGTACACTGTAAAAATAAATTGATAGATAGAGAATAAATTGTATGTATTATTGATTGATATTATTGAATGTTACAATGATTCCTATATATAGAAGAGTAGGTGGTAGTAGGTGGTAGATGGAGTAGGTAAAGTGGAGGTGGTAGTGGTGTAGTGGGTTAGGTTTAGTGGAGTAGGTGAGGTGGTAGTGGTGTAGTGGGTTAGGTTTAGTGGGTGAAGTAGGTGATAGGTTTTAACAGCCCTCCGCAAACTTAAAGGGGATAGGAACTAACCAACTTGAGTTTGGAGAGAGTAACAAAACAAGAAAATACATAAAAATAAAAGAGGATAGGAGACACTGTATGATCGTGTCAGACCGTTGGTGAAGACACTGTATGGTTGGTAGACCGATGTAGAAGACACTGGCTCGTGTCGAACCGATGTAGAAGACAGTTTATGGGGTCATGTCCGACCGTTGTAGAAGACAGTTTACGGGGTCTTGCTGGACCCTTGTAGAAACTAACCGGAATCAATGTCGGGACAGTTTACAGAGTCTTGTCGGACCCATAAAAAATCGCACCCTCAAAAGGTGTGCCCAATCTTTCATTAAAAAGTCGCACCCTCAAAAGGTGTGCCCAATCTTTCAAAAAGGCGTGCCATCAAAAGGCGTGCCCAATTCATCAAAAGGTGTGCCGGACATGATGGCGAGGCGCGTCACCACATTGGCTTGCACGCCCGTTTTGTCGTCTGGCGTCAAGTGGCGCGCGATGCGCGTGTCTGCCTTGGCTATTTAACCAAGACGGATGCTGAGGCTGAGGCAGAGGCTAAGACAAAAAACTGGCTAAAAACCTCTGAGAAACTCTTCGTTGTCTTGAGAGTGATACTCTGTTCGTTTGCTGAGAGAGATACTCTGTTCGTTTGCTGAGAGAGATACTCTGTAACACTCTGTAACCAATCCTGCTCTGAAAGTACCAGTCGGAAATCGCTGCTTCGCTGAAACACTCAGCAACCCAAAACATGGCCTCGTCTTCCCGTTCAGCTACCCAGAATATGGCCTCTTCGTCCCGTGGTCTGCTCACTCTTTTTCCCGACCTCAACGAGTCAACAAGAGAGATAACTGGTGCGGTGGCCAGTGAACCTCAACCAAGCGCCTCTGTTTTTGCTCCGTTGAACTTTCCGATGCGGTCGGTGGAGCAAAAAATGGCGGTGCAAATTGATATTAAGGCCAATCAGTATACTTTGAAGTCATGTGTGGAGACCATGACGGCGGTCACAAACCTGTCGCACCGGCTGCAGAGTAAGACAAATGAGGTGCAGCAGTTAAACGCCCAGCTGGCGCTGCTCCAACGCACGTATAAGGATGCGCGAGCAGAGATAAGTGTGCTAAAGGCGGAAAATAAGGAGCTGAAGCGGAAGGCCACCGTTATGTTCCGATTTGGAGGGCCGCCATATGCTGCAGTGGAGGAGCAGGGGGGAGTAAACGTGCTCGGCGGACTAGGAAGCACGGAGACCGGACTGGCACGGGACACCCAAGATAAAAGTAAGAAGAAGAGACCTGCACTAGAGTAGAGAAGAAAAATCCCACTGTGGGGGTGGTTGTTTTGTTTTTGTTTGTTGTTGTTGTTTTTTTTTTTTTTTAGGGTGTAAAATGGTGATCAGGGCGAAGTCCCGATAGAAATAAAATGAGTGTATTGTGCAAATCTAAATGGCTTGAAGGTACAAGACTGAGCAGAAAAATGAGATTGAATGAATAGAAGGTTTTTTTTTTGGATAAAATAAAATAAATAAAGGAGAAAAAAAAATAATTAATTTTGAAAGCAGACGGAGGAAAGAGAGGGACAAACTCATGTGGATGTCATGATAAGAAAAGGCATAAGAAAGAAAAAAGAGAAAAATGCAAACAGGAGTGGAGACAAATTGAGTGGAATTCGGTGGAAAGAAGAGAGAAATCAGGATTATAAATTGCTTTGGCTAGTGGTAGGGCCCACCAGCACTATTCACTTCAAAAATGTGGAATGGTGAGCAAGAGGTGGAAACAACAAGCTTGTCTTTACCCACGATGCCCTCAAGAGTCTACAGCAGGCTGAGAGATGCAGCAAGATCATTGGCCCATATGTTTCTTCCATCAACCACTCCAGCAAAGAGGTATTTTCCTGACGGGAATCCACTTGTAATCAAATCAAGAGTTTGTGCTCCGCGAACCAGATCAAAACCAAAACCAGTGACATACTTCAGGCTGGTGAGGGTTTTAAATGCCTCAGCTGGAACATCAGCAAAGTAAGTCTCGACAATAACATTCAGGCCTGACAAAGCTGATTTTAGCTCAGAGTAGGCAGCAGTGAATGCTTGCAATTGGTGAGATTCAAGATCCTTCACAAGGGTGGGCTCATCAAACTGAATCCATGATGCACCAGCGGCCTTTAGCTCGGCAACAACTTCCTTATAGATTGGAAGGATTTTGTCTAAGAGGGAGAGAAAAGAAAATGATTTCTCGACACCCTTTGCAGGTTTTGAGAGCAACAAATAGGACACAGGGCCAACAAGGACTGGAACGGTATCTACTCCAAGCGCCTTAGCCTCCTTATATTCATCAACAGCCTTGTGGGAAGCATATGAGAACTTGATCTCAGGTCCCAACTCAGGGACAATGAAATGGTAGTTGGTGTCGAACCACTTGGTCATCTCCATAGCAAGTACAGAGGCATTTCCTCTAGCCATGGAGAAGTAAGTGTCAAACCCAATCTCACCACCTGTCCAACCATATCTAGGGGGAACAGCGCCAAGCATCGCGGTTGTATCAAGCACCTGATCATAGTAAGAGAATGTGTTGCTAGGAATATACTTGATGCCAGCACTGGCCATCTGCTTCCAGATGGAAGACCTCAGATCGGCTGCGACCTTTTTCAAATCCTCAGCACTGCTCTTCTTATCCCAGAAGGATTCCAATGCAAACTTGAGCTCTCTCTTGGGGCCCATGCGAGGATATCCAACGATGTGAGAGGCCATTTTTCTTTAGAAGGTAGAACCGGAAGAGAGAGAAATCTGCGACTGGTTCTTGGTGAGTGAAGGCGGAGGAAGGCGGAGTTTCGGTTCAGTTATGGAATTTGTGACAGTGGAGTGAAGGTATGTGTAGAGGTCCGGCGGACGGCCAAGGTGAGACTGCCGCCCGCCGGTGAAGCAGAATGACTAGGTTGTTAACCTTGCTCTGATACCATGTAAAAATAAATTGATAGATAGAGAATAAATTGTATGTATTATTGATTGATATTATTGAATGTTACAATGATTCCTATATATAGAAGAGTAGGTGGTAGTAGGTGGTAGATGGAGTAGGTAAAGTGGAGGTGGTAGTGGTGTAGTGGGTTAGGTTTAGTGGAGTAGGTGAGGTGGTAGTAGTGTAGTGGGTTAGGTTTAGTGGGTGAAGTAGGTGATAGGTTTTAACATACACCCACTTACATCCAACTGGATTTTTGCCTCTAGGTCACTCCACTAACTCCAAGTGCCACTCTTGCTAAGAGCTCTCATCTCTTCCATCATGACATGTTTCCATTCAAGAATAGAGAGAGCATCCTGAAAATTGGTAGGTAGACTCACAGAAGACACTTTAGACAGAAAAGCTTGATATGAGGAAGACAGATAAGAATAAGAAACATGATTACTAATAGGATGCTGAGCACATGACCTAACCCCTTCCTATTAGCCATGGAAACATCTAAATCTGAAAAAACAGGAATAGAAGTACTAAAATCAAAATTACCTAGACTCTCAGGAGTGGGGTTGACTTTGAACACTCATCCGGAGAAGAAGTTGACAGTAGAGGAAGGAAAATAGTCTCTTGCATCCAGGTGACTTCCTGTCTATCATTGTCCCTAATATAAACTTTGCCTTCTTCCTTTTCCTCAACAACTCCTAGCTCATCATCCTCTATCTGTTCAACCACTCGCGGAAGTGAAACAGGAATCTTTCACACCAAGGCTCCCCATGAAAGGATGACTGTGAGACCGGGGGGGTAGGAAAGTAAGATTGAGACTCAAAAAAAGCGACATTCATAAAGACAAACCATTTGCGAGTGGGAGGATGATACCACTTATAACCCTTTTTGATGGCAAAATAACCCAGAAAAACACACTTAAGAGACCTAGGATCTAATTTACCACGAATGGGTGAATGATTATAGACAAAGCAAACACAGCCAAAAGTCTTAGGAGGAATGGAAAACCCAGAAGAGGTAGACCCGAACAAAGCTTAAAGAGGTGTTTGTTTTTTTAGGACTTGGGTAGGAAGACGATTAATCAAATAAACAGCATTGACAACCGCTTCCCCCCAATAGGATCGAGGAACCCGCATTTCAAAGGATAGACAACGGGCGACATCAAAAAGATGGCGATTTTTGCGTTCTACAACACCATTTTGTTGAGAGGTATTAGTGCATGAAGTCTGGTGAATAATGTCATGAGTGGCAAAGTAAGTGGCAAGACTAAAGTCAATATATTCTCCCTCATTATCAGAATGTAGAATTTTTACAACCATCCCAAACTGAGTACAAACCATTTTATGGAAATTTTGAAGTACAAAAAAGACCTCACTTTTATCTTTCATCAAATAAACCCAAGTGGCCCTGGAACAATCTATAAAAGTAACAAACCATTTTTGACCAGTTAAAGACACAAACCAGGATGGACCCCACATATCAGAATGAATCAAAGAAAATGGAACTAAACTTTTATTAATAGAAAGAGGAAAAGAGGCTTTGTGTTGTTTTCTAAGTTGATAAAACTAACATTGAAAATTTGACACATTATTTTTCTCCAAAACAGAAAAAAATAAATGCTTAAATAATAAAAAAAGAAATGTCCTAAGCGACGATACCATAGCCAAATGTCTTCCTTGGTGGATGGTAACTGAATAGATGAATGAACCAGCTTGTTTGTCTGATCCAAAATGTAGAGCCCATTTTCCTCTCTACCATTGCCAATCCTCTTTTTCTCGTGATAAGGTCCTGAAAAAGACAATGATTAGGAAAAAACGTCACGCTACAATTTAAGTCACGCGTATTACGACTCAAAGATAAAATATTAACACTAAAATTGAGAACATAAAGGACAGAAGACAAAGGAATGGAAGAGGTGGCATGAATTAAACATTTTCCTGACACAGACGAAATGGTACCATCAATAATACGGACTTTTTCCTAACCTAAGGAGGGATTATACTCGAAAAATAAATTAGAGAAGCCAGACATATGGTCAAAAGCACCGGAATCAATAATCCATGAGACAATCGTATGAGATAGCAACACACATAGAGAGGAAGCCAAGCTACCTAAATTAACAAAGGAAGAAAAATGTGCACCTGTAGTAGAAGGGGAGGCTTGACGGTCTAGCAAGTAACGAAAAGCAATCTCAAAATTCGAGGCAAATAACCCCAAGACATCAGCAACGGAGGAGACAACTGGAGATGAAGATGGTGGCTCAACAGTGTCTGAAAGATGGGCTCGTGCATTAGCCCCGCTGCCTCTAGTACCAGACCGACCCCCTCGAGTACCAGGACGGTTGCCTCGACCACCAGAGGGAGTTTCATACAGCTTCCAACAAGTCTCGCATGTGTGGCGAAGTCAATAACAATAGTCACAGTACAGATGATCTTTCTCAGATGAAGGACGAGAACCACGAATCACACGGTCGCCATCGCAAGAGGGTGCAAAAACCAAAACCGAGCAATCAGTAGTAGCAGAAGGAAGCATCGCAAAATGGCGACTCTCCTCATTCTGCACAAAAGCCCTGGAGAGAAGGAAACACATTGATGCCAAGTACTCTGCTCAGAACCGAATCATACTCCACATTTAGGCCTTTCAAGAACTTGAAGACCCGCTCTTGCGCCACAAACTTCCGATAACAAACAGAATCAGTGGGACAAACAGGCTTGGAATCTTGAAGGTGATCAAGCCGCTTCCATTCATTGCTAAATAAGGTAAAATACTGAAGGATAGTCTACTCACCTTGTACCTGTTGTTCAATGAAGCGACGTGTTAGAATTTACCATTCACACTCACCTACTACACTCCACTACTCACACTCACCTACTACACTCCACTACTCCTCACCTACTACCCAAACCCTCTCCTATATAATGCCACTCTGATTTGTAATACAATACATCAATCAAGAACAATCAATCAATTATACATTGATTTTTAACATGGTATCAGAGCAGGTTTAGAACCTGATATTTTCGCTTCCCCGGCGGGCAGCAACCTCACCTTAGCTGCCCGCCGGACCTCCACCTAGTCTGCTAAATTTTTTCTACACATACCTTTAAATTTCCTTTCTTCAACCTGCTGAGTGCACAAACCACAGACAGCACACATACAATTCTCTCTCTCTGTGGTTTCATCAGAGCCCTTCATCAAACTCATCTTCAACTTGTTCACGTTCTCCGCCGCCGGCATCTTCGCCTTCACCCATATCTCACCGTGTGCTCCATCTGACTCTGCGTGACCTGCTGAAATCCTGGAAAGTGCCCGTTCAATGAATGCAACAAGCTCAGAATGAGTACCACGCAGATGAGATATTTGTAAGATATGATTGCAATACTGTGGCCACTCAATCAAACGTCCACAAACTGTTCCAGAGCTTTGGTCCCAAACACAAACATCTGTGTGCAGAAAGGCCATCAGTAACATACCATAGTAAATAACAATAAATACGAGAAAACACAATAACTAGAGAATAATACACACTTTGGAATCTGCAGGTTTACGCAGTGAATCCAGAACACCTCGGAGGGCAATACCAAGGGTGAGATGAGTTACAAGCTGATGCTTGATGAGAGAACCTGGAATACAATTCAAAACCATTCCACAAATATAACATACATGTAAAAAATATATAAAATCAATTAAGAAAAAATGAAACCTCCAATTATGTGAGACGTCACAAAGAAACTACAGCAAGCAAAAGCAGCTAATTAGTCTGGTTTTAAAAAGGGGCTAGAAACCTAGAATGCAATCAATATAAAGCATTTATTTGCTGAAGAAACTGAAGATGCAATTTAAATATGACCATTAGAATCCCTAATGTCAAGATCCTTAAAGGAACAAATATGCCACTAATGAAACCAAAAAGTTTGAACTGAAAGCTTGCACGTCACACACACATGCTTTGTAAAAAGCATGAATGAACAACTAGGTCAAAAAATTGTTCCCCGAAAATTTCAGTATCTCTTAAGACCATCATGCTTCTGAGCACAGAAGTTATTATACTTGCAGTTCAAATACCCAGTTTCATGTGAGGCAAGATTTTATTTTAACCAAGTTTAAAATGGAACAACCCGATGATAATTGATGCATTATATGCCACGTATGATGTAGTGGTGTTTTTTTAGCATCAAATGAAGAGATCTTCAAAAGCTGTTTCTTTTTAGGTTTGATACATCTCCCCTAAGATGGAAGTCAGGACTGCCAGACAATGTAGGTGTGATTGCCTTGGCTACAATACCTATTTTTCTACTCCCTCTACTGCTTTACCCTCAATCAATCATTCTCTTAGCTGGCTGCTCAGCCATTGTTTTGGCTGCTGAGAATAATTCTACATCAAACCATGCATTAGTGAAGATAGAAAATGTAAAACATGAGGAAAAGATTTAACTCATTTGTCTGAGTCTTATAAATAATTGACAAGGAGAATGAAGTTTTTGAAGTTACAAGCAACAATAAAGGTGAGGAGGCCAAGATAATAGGTTTTGGATGAAAACCCGTTTGTTTGGTGGAAAACATTTTTGAATTTTTGAAAATTGTTTTTATACAAATTCAAATTAAATGAAAAACAATTGAATGTTTTCAAACTTTTCATTGCTTTTTTGTTTCCAAAACACAAAAAATGCAAATGAAAAACAAAAACATTAAAAATAAAAAGAATACCAGACAGATCCTTCAATTATTGGAAATTTTTCCTTTCCCTGGTTTTTTTGACTGACAAACAAGGCCTACTTGTACCTCACAACGAAATATGTGAACCAAGGCTGAGCCAAACAACACAACCTGAAAGCACTTCATATGATGTGAAAAACAAAAGTAACTTGACTGAGGATTAGATGATAGCAAAGATGAAGAATTGTGTGGAATATAAGCTAATAAGTAATATAACTTCAACAAATTCCATAACAGTAGAAATTTAACAAAAAATCAAACTATAATGATGCCATTAGGTTGGTGGACCATGTATCCAATAAAACCTCACCAAAGAGAACTGCGGCAATTTTGAGCTGCCTCTCAGGGTACTTGGGGAAAAATTTGTATTCTTCAAATAGATTGCCAATCATGCACTCAAAAATTGATTGTTCCCTGTCAATTCATATGATGTTTAAGCAAATCAACACCTATCAAACAAATCTGAATAATACCGTTGCATTTAAAGTTCAATGGCATCAGAGCATTTACGTTTCAAACAAGTATCTATCATAAAGGAGGATTCATGCACGTAGGATGTGGAAGACAACAGAACATGGATTGTTAACCAAGACTTGAAGAGTCAATCTTTCTTTCTCCCACTAAACAGTAAACAATAAAAGTGGGTCATCGAATGTCCCAGGAGATAAATCAATAAAATGATTGTTTCCACCACACCACCAGATGACTATGAAGCATGGACCCTCCAAAAATCAGTACCGTAGTGGTGTCCAACACAGGGACACGCCGGGGACAGGTACGGGACACACCTTCTAATTTATGATTTTTTTGTAGGGAACACGGCGGGGACACGTGTGTCCATATGGGGACACAGCATGGGGCACGGCGGGGCTTTTTTTTTTTTTTTTTTTTTTCCTTTTTTTTTGTTTTTGGCATTTTATGTTTACACTATCTACTAGATTAAGTTTAACAACCAACTAATACAAGCTCTTCATATGCATGCTCGTATGCTTATGCACAAAAGGCACATGCCTCATACTGTGAAACACAAGCCCTTTGCGCAGTATAGCCCAAAAATCAAAGCGCTAATGCATTTTTCCTCGGGCAAATCCTTTTAAAATTTCGGTCATACAAGAGCATTTCCAACCATTCACCAAATCCTTCATCAAATTTAATTTCGAAAGATAAACGAGCCGAGCTTATGCGAGCTCGAGCTCAGCTCATTTACTTATTCATGAACAGCTCGGTTCATTTGCATCCCTATGGGTGCCTGAACCCACCCATCAACATATCCTATCTTCCACTTGCTCTTCAAGAAAATAGTCAGACTCTGTGACCACACTAGGTAATTCTAATCATTAAATAAAGAGGTGGTGATTCTAAGGCCAGTGTGAAGGTTATCAGTCATAGTGGAACAAATAACAGAACTCTCGCCCTGAGATGGCTGAGAGGTAGTACATTCACTAATCAAATCCGCCATGGAGACTACTAATTATTCCTCAAATACGATTCCTCAAACACGAGGCCAATCACAAACCCGGGAGATGAGAGTGTAGTAACAAGCACAGCAATAACTATAAAAGCATAAAGGAGGGAGAATCTAGTGGGGCTTTGTGTTTGGACTGTTTTTACATCAGCGGAGAGTTTTTTTTTTTTTCGGTCTGCTTCGGTACTGTTTTACCTTACTAGAAGACTGTGTATAATCATCACCAGTCCACTACGTAAGAGACGACTTCGTATTACATCACCAGAGGACTTCGAAGAGCGGCGACCACCCCAGGCAACCCTAGAGGGCCAGACGATTTCGACCAAACCAGCAAGAAGGCTGGTTGGCCCCCTAGGAACCCTCGGTATTGGCTGGAGAGGCCTACCGAGGGAGAGAGAAGCCTGGGTGATGGCTGTCAAAGAGAGAGAAGAGGCTGGGAGACCTGGGTAGAGTCTGTTAGGGTTAGACAAGGCTGGGAGACCTATTTAGGGCTTCCGTTTGGTCTATAGGAGAGAGGAGATCACCTGTAATAATGGGTAATAGAGAAGAAGAGTTGGCTCGGGTATGGCTCTAATACCATGAAGGTTTAGAGAAGAGAAAGAGTTAGAGAATAAGTTAGACTTCATTCCTTTTTATATTACTAATACTGAGTAATTATAGGAGTGCCATAAGGCATAATATATGTGCCAGCCCATTACACCAATCAAGGAATAAATAAATAAAAAATACAATCACATATTTCCTATTCTAGCATTCTCTCCCTTTACCAAAATTGCAACCATCTATTCACCCAAAAAAAAATTAAATTTGCAACCATCTAAAGCATGGTTTAAAAATACTATCGAAAATAAATAAATAATAATCTAGTAACTCAAATTGAACACTAATTGCAAGCAACTTTGAATGTTTACACCATATTATGGCAATCAGACTTGGATGAATTCAGTTAAGCTCAATCTTAGTCTAGCCCACAGTGTACACTCAACATAATGAGCAGAATCATGTGCTTGCACATACTTACAAGATGTATGGATGTACAATTCACATAATTGTATGGATAAATAAAACTTCACATTGTGTATAATGCACTGTGATGTAAAATGGCATGGGATTCAAGCTCAAGTCCCAAAAAATGTGTAAGGCTAATCATTAATGAATGAAATATTTGAGCATATTCCTAAGCCAACACCAAATTTGACAAGATTACCTTACATTCACTGGCCATAGAGTCCAAAACGCATAGTAATATGTCAATGATGGCTGAGGATTGGTAATCTTGTTTTGAGAACAAGGAAGAACATATCCTGCGAGCAAACTGTAAATAAAATATCAATCAGGGAAAAAAATAGTAAGCATACACATGCACATGAACAGGCAGAACCCTTAAAAACTGTGAGAATAAGAGATAACTCACCTTAGGCAGTTGATCTTTCATATTTGATTTTGAGTACTCGGCAAATGTTGCCGAGCAGACCTCACACAACAGATCCTTGTTGAAACACGTTAGCTCTCCAACCAAAAATAAAGTACATTTACTCAGATATGTCACAAGCATCCTGTGCAACTTCTCATGTGCACTTGCATCCAAAACCCTATAACATTTTAAAAGTATTGAACTCCATCAATAATTAATTTTGTCACATTTCAAAAACAAACAATCGTACTTTAGCTGCTCAACAAGAAACCCATTACAGTTTTAAGCAATTAACCGGCTGGGAAGCATCATGCCCAATGTACCTTACAAAACCCATATATATTTACATCTATTTCCATTATATTATATAAAGCCTATACTTGAGTTCACCTTGTCACTTGATTTTTTTTCTTCAACAAAGCCCTTCATATTCAATAACTACCTCATCCGATAACTGTTTCATCAAACTATCCAAAATTGTTAAAAAGTTTTCAATGAAAACTTTTCATCGTTGATCAAATCACACCTCAATGGACAAACAATCCAAGCATACAATTGTGAAATTGCAAACAGATGGCTTGAACCCATTGCTCGTATGTGTGCATATATCTATCTTCTATCTATCTATACTATTATAAAACAAACAGCCACGATAGTGTAGACAAAGCCGGCTCACGCTATAACTGCTTGGAACAGATTCTGACCCAATTTAACTGTTTCAATTCGTAATTGTCAATCTAATTATTTCACTCGCGCACAAGTAGTGTGTGCCAACACGTGTGTGTGTGTGTATATACATAGAGAGAGAGAGAGAGAGAGAGAGAGAGAGAGAGAGAGAAAAGCACACCTGAACCATGGTGAGACCTCATCCACCAAAGTGAGTACCCTCCGGTAATGTCCTTCCTCTTTTCCTTGCTTCATAGAAACACACTTCACAAGCGTCACAACAATCTCCACAACCAAAAAAGCAAACTCATGATCCACACTCTCATTTCCCAAATCCGGAACATACTGAAACTTCTTCTTCACCAATTTCGACCCCGTACCGCCAATCTCAATCCCCCAAAGGCTCTCCAGAACTGAAAACCCCTCGATTTCAGCATCACCGTAGCGTCCCCAGGCCTCAAAGCAATGAATCAAGCGAACCCTCTGGATGTGAACGGAGTAGGGTTTACAGGACAACTGAGAAGAGATAAGTTGCAAGCAATTCAAGCAGAGCTTGTAAGTGGTGAACAATTGGAGAGCGAATTGGGGGTCGAGTTTGGGGGTTTCGGAGAGGCGTTTGGGGATGAGAGAGAGGGAGCGATTGAGGAAGGAGAGGAACTTCTTGGCGAGAGATCGGAGGGAGGATTGGTGGTCTTCGGCGGCGGCGTTTGACGGTTTTTTGGATCGTTTGGGCTTGGTGGTGGTGGTGGTGGTGGTGAGATCGGTGAATGGGCGTAAGTAATCGGAGAAGAGGTGGTGGAGTTGGTGGAGATCGGAGGATTGGAGTTTGGAGATGAGAGAGGACTCGGCGTCGAAGTCCATGGATGTGGTGGTGGTGGTGAGAGAGAGAGAGAGAGAGAGAGAGAAGGAGAGAGGTGAGAGAAGAAGCAGGGGAATGAAGTGAAATGTATGGGCGCCAATGTTGCCCCGCCTAATGTTCATTTCAAAGTAGGCTCGGATGTATGTATATCGGGAAATTCTACTATACTCCTGTCATATGCTCCCAAATATGTATTTTTTTAAAAAAAATTATAATCAATTTTTTTTTTATGAGATCTTTGATTATATTTCATATATTATTTGATTATGATTTTTTTTATTTTTAGTTATAATTTTAAAAATATGAAATTATATCTTTTATTTAAATTATAAAGTGTATACAATACCCACCTTTTAAAAGGGATATATTATAGTCTTTCTCATGTATATAATATTGTATGTTTTTTTTTTTGGCATATTGTTTAAAAAAAAAGGTTATTCTCAACAATCCTTTTTAAAAATAATGATATTGCTTGGTTAGACTTTTTCAAAAATACTTTTCAGAAAATTTTATTTTCTTGTTTTTCGTATTTTTTTTACTGAATTTTTTTAATATTTTAAATATTTTTTTACTTTTTATACGTATCTAACATAAATATACCTAAAAATTTTGTGAAAAAACCTTTTAAAAAATCATTAAATACCAAAAATACAAAAAAAAAAAAATGAGAATTCAGTATCTTTTTGTATTTTTATGTATTTACTAATTTTTTAAAATATTTTTTCACAATTTTTTTACTTTTTTAGATACATCTAAGTAAGGTGCATCTAAAAAAAGTTTAAAAAAAATGTTTAAAATTTTAAAAATATTCACTAAAAACAAAAAAAAAAACACAAAAATCAAAAAACTCAATTTAAAAAAAATTTAATATAAAAAACTCAAACCAAACACACTGAATAGTTGCGTTTGAAAAATTAAGGCTGTGTTTGGTAGAGTTTTCTAAGAGCTGATTTGGCATGTTTGAAAAAAGTCAAAAAGTCACTATCCTATTTAAGTCACATCATCTTTCTAACACATCACTTCAAACCCAACTCAAACCCAACCCATATTTCATAAAAAGTCAAAAAATACACTTATTTAGATCATCCCAAACAACTCCTAAATATGATTTGAGAATATGAGTTGTATTTTAAGTTTGTGAGTTTTAGAATTATGAGTGTGGAAATTTTGTTTGGTGAATAAGTTTTTAAAAGAGTTTTTGAATTGAGTGATGTGACATAAGCCTTGTTTGGTGGGAGAAATTTTTTGGAAATATACTCTACAAACACTTTTTTAAGTGTAATCAAACCAAACAGATTTTCTCAAAAAAACTCTCAAAAATGTGTTTAGTTATCTAATTTCCAGGATTCCTTTTGAAACATGCTTTCAAAAAAAGCAAATCAAACAAGTTTATGTACTTTTATCTCAAAAATTATTTTACAAAAAGGCAAATCAAACAAATTTTTGTACTTTTTTATCTTAAAAACTACTCTACAAAAAAAAAACAAAGTTATTTTAGAGAAAATATTTGAAAAAAGACAAACCAAATAAGGTTTTGTACTTTTTATCTCAAAAACTACTCTACAAAAAAAATCAAAGTTATTTTAGAGAGAATATTTAGAAAAAAACAAACCAAACAAGTTTTTGTACTTTTTTATTTCAAAAACTACTCTACAAACACAAACCAAACACACCCATAATTTTTTATACAAAAACTTACAACTCATAACCAACACACAATCCAAAATTCTATTCCAAAAAAAAAATTGAAAATATTTTTTATTTAAAATATAAAAATAACAAGTGCAAAAAAAATAAAAAAATCAAAATCAAAAGCACTGTTCCAGTCAACCGGCCGAACGTCTAGAGGGACATCCAAGTACACGAATTTTCAAACACGGGTGTGGAAATGTGTTTTGAAAACTGTAAACAAACGCCGCACTTAAACTAAAAGGTGAAATCATGATTCAAAAGCTATACCAAACACAGCCTAATTATTTTAGTTAACTTTTTTTACTGTAGATTTATATTTAGGATGATAGTTTTTTTTTTTAATTGATTTGATGGTTACGAGAAAATAATTAAATTAATTATAATTTATATGCGACATTTTATATCGTTGATTATTTTAACTTATTTTATTTAAATTAATTATTTTAACCAAAATCTAAGGTTGCGTTTGGTAGACCTTTCTAACTATGATTTGAGAGTATAAGTTGTATTTTGAGTTTGTGAGTTTTGGAATTATGATTTGAGTGTGAAAAATTTATTTGGTGAAAAAGTTTTGAATTGAGTGGGAAATTTTTAATGTGACATATGATATTTGATACAAAAATTTATAACTCATAACCACACATATAACTCAAAATTTTATTAAAACACATAAAAAAAAAATTAAAAATTTGGAAAATATTTTTTTCTCGAATATATAAAAATTAACATAGGTCAATTAAAAAAAATAAAAATAAATTTTGCATTGTTCCGGACAACCGGTGGGACATCCAGTAGGACATCCAGTGGGACGACTGGTTAAGCAAAATTTGAAAAAAAAAAATTGAAAATTGCACCTGAGATAAAGTTTTTTGCAGAGTTTTCTCTTTATTACGGAAATACAATTTGAGAATCGTATCCAAACATGAAGTTAGAATGTGTAGACAGAATTGTATTTTGAAAATCATTCCAAACATAGCCCAACTTTTCAAACACGCCATTGTCAAAACATTTTACTTTTCAAATCAATATAAATTTAAAAATAAAAATAAAAAATAAAATTTTTAAAAGAAGTTTATAACAAAGTACATATATTTTTGCTCCCTTTTTTTCTTAGGACTCATGCCTCGTTTGGGAATAAATTATTTTAATAATTTTTTAATTTTTTAACTAAAATGTGAGGTAAAAAAACTAGTATGCTTTGAGTGAATTTTTAATGTTTTATGAAAAGATGTGCAAAAAATGAAGAGAAAATATAATTTTTAACTTTTTGATATATATTATAGATTTTTTGATTTTTTTAATAACTTTTGACTTTTAAACTAAAACAGGCACATGTCAACCGAGACCTCAGTGTAAAAGTCTAAATTACAATTTTGTTTACCCAAAAGTCCAGGGATTAAAACACTTTGTTCATAAGAATAAACTCAAACAAATTGACTAAAACACTTCCTCTCTCTCTCTATATATATACTAGTGTATGCCCGTACTTAAAGGCATGATGTAAATTGTCACGACCCGCTCCCCGTACACAAGGGTTAAGTATCGTGATGGCCAGTAACTGAAGTTATCTCCGGCCAATTCTTGAACAAATTAATATGCGCGAGCGGAAATAATATTTAAGTGAGAGTACCAAAATAATCATCGGAGCTTCTATTTTTATTACAAAATTTATTGACCAGAAAGGCTGAAATTTACATATAAAAATATCATAAAAGTGTTGTATGTATCTATTCCGCAGCCTCGCATCTAAGATTTTTCAAAAGTTATTTCTGAATTGTATTGTTTCCTAAAAATTGGTAAACAACTATAAGCACATAGGAGAGTGAGAAATATTATGCCGAGAGTATAAGAGATACAAAATAACCATGGATAGTTACATAACTAAAATATTTAAGATCACTTAGTCTGAACAAATAATCATTTAAGTAGCAAAATTGAGATTATGTAAATAAATAACCATAACCACGGTACCGAACAAAACAAAACAGAGGTCACAGGAGTGACAGTCAGAACAAGGGTTCGGATTCAAGAGGTGGCTCGTATAGATTATAGAGGTGGCTCCCACAATAGTGTAGCACTTATTTCCGCACAACACTTTACTCCGCACAAAACAGAGGTCAATAGATCCATGACAATAGAGGGTCACAAAGTGACCAAACAGAGGCCAATGGTTATTTAAGTCTCCCAAGGCATGGGACTCCTGTGGTAGTACTTACAAAACATAATTGTTTACAAGATCATTGTCAAATAATCAGTAAAAGTTAAACAAATATATCCATGAGTTTCATTTTAAATAAATAGAGTTCAGAAATTAATCCACGTAATTGAAATATTAATATAATTTATAAAACATAACTTGTATAAAATAAATTATAGTAAGTCAAAATATACGTAAAATATATTATGGTAACTCAAAATATAGTATAACTCACCTTAAAATTAATACCTCACTCTTTCTTCTTTGATCTTGATCTCCTCCCCATTTATAGGGAGGCAGGCCTTTCCATTACTCTCCACGTGTCCACAGTAATCTTCCTTAGATTTGGATTGAAATCTTGTTAGATCTATAGTTATCTTATTAACTTGAGGTAATTATATTTTGGCCCCAATTCTTTTAAAATAATTATATTCCCCCTTCGTTTGATAAAAATATAAACTAATCCCTAATTAAATTACACTCTATCATATACCAACAGAAAATTAATTATTTATTTTACTACTACACCCATTATTATTATTATTATTATTATTATTATTATTATTATTGTTATTTATTTTTATTTTTAATAATATATCATCAAATGCAACCATAATACTAGTATAAAATTTAAGGGACAACTTAAATTTTCGAGTTATTACATAAATAATAATATTAGGATCAAAATGTAATTGTAATTTGTACGTATCATGTTAAAATTTGTAGAGTCAGTAGCACCTAATAAAAGATCAAGTCAGCACACTTACCATTAGTTTGTGGTTAACACCTGATACACTGGTGAGTGTTATAGTACCCCAAACCCCAAATATCTTATTGAAATAACATAATACAGACAACATAAATACCATAACCTGACAAATTGTTTACATATTAAGATGCGAAAATCAAATATTGAAAAATAATTTTCCAATCAATCTGAATAAAGCATTGACACCTCTATACATCACGGAGGGAGCCCCAATATTGAATTTCCTGCAACAAAAAATAGACAATCTATATAACAAAACACACGAATCGTCATCAAGAATAAATGAACTTTATGCCATAGCATCCCAACAATATAGCAATTCATTTTTCATAAAACCGCTTAAATGGTGAAATTTAATTTTGTAAGAAAAATAATTCCTGCAACCCATCTAGTTTGTCCAATAAAAATTGTTGCTAGTATCAATACTTGAAAGAAAATGTATA